TCTAAAACTCGATGTTTGGGATAGCCTTTAGTTCTTTCAGCGATGCGCTTTTAATGTCATCTGTGCTTGCAAAACGACGGCCCTTTAAGGTTCTCTTTATTTTTGGGAATAGGAAAAAGTCAGACAGAGGCATGTCTGGCGAATATGGAGGCTGGGGCATCATTACAGTATTGTTTTTGGCCAAAAATTTTGTTCAAAATTTAACAATTTTAGAACAAATTTTGCTGCCACGCGTTTCATACCCAAAACATTCAAACAAATTTCAAGGGATGAGCCAATTGATATACCAACATCATCAGCGACTTCTCTGATGGTTTATAACCATTTCTTCCACTTTTTCCATGTTTTTATCGGTTGTTAATGTGCTTGTGCGTTCGGGGCGTTCGTCATCTTCAACGTCTTCACGGCCATCTTGGAAACTCTTATACCACTTGTAAACTCTTGTTTTACTTAAAGCAGACTCACTATAGGCCTTTGTTAACATTTCACAGAATTTATTTAATTTTTTAAGCAAAATTGGATACAAATTCTTTGATCCATTTCTTTTAACGAACGAAAAATCGTCGAGCTGATAAAACACGTCTAACCTTAGCGGCTGCCACAGACAAAGTAAACAATGAAAACAGCTAAAGTTTTTATCATACTTCGGGGGCATGTATACCAACATAATAAAGAAAATTTTATGACAACCGGACCCTCCAAACCCGCGAAATTTAACAATTCCCGTTATTTTCTGAACACACCTCGTACTTTAACATTTCCAATAAAATTAATTAACAAACATTTTTTTAAATAATTTTCATTCCTTGTTTTTTGTAGACCATCTTCCAAAACATAATTTTCTCTTAACTTCGCAGGATCGCAGGAAAAAACCCCAAACACACACACGACCATCAAAAATCCACTCCTGCTGTCCGCAGGCAGTCCTGCCGTAAAAACAAAACCCTGTCTTCGACAGGACACGATCTCGAGCAGGAAACGCGTCACAGGCAGCAGGAATCCTTAACGCGTGGCTGACGTCCTCACCCGTCAGCAGGAATTTCGAGAATTCCGTCCTGCATGCAGGTTTAAGCGATATTGCCATATTGCCATATTACAAGCACGGGTAATGATGTGGAATAGATTCCAAGCACTATTGTTATTGAAGGTAATGTAATTTATAGTTATTGCAGGATTTTATGGGAAAATATATGATGTTATTGAGTTTTTTTAGACAATTTTGTTTAATTCGTTTTTTACCTAGTTTATTTATGGGTCATTTTCAAGAAACACCCGCTTTCAGGAAAATGAAGATCAAATTTTTTTTTTGCTTAAATTGACTTTTGGTTGGATTTTTATAAATGTTCAGAGTTTTGTTTACTTACATTTAAGACAGGCAGTGCACTTTTTATTTTTTTTACGTTTTTTTCAGAAAAATGTGTTTAGCTAGCTCCACTGTGTTACCAATTTGAAATCCAAAATTTAATTCAATAAAAAAAGTTGTTATAAAATTAATTTGAAATAAAATGTACTTACAAACTTTTGACTCCAATTTTATTTTTTATTAAAAATTGTATGTGGTTAAGTTACTTTTTAAAAGAAACCATTCCGATTCTTTGTTAAAAAAAACAATACCAATAATATTTTTTTTTAGTCACTGTATTAGTGAGTTAAACTCTAATTTATAAACACGTATTACCAAGTGATAGTGTATAAAAATCATTTTAAGTATTTTTTTTAACAAAAACTAAAAAAAGTAACGAAATAGACATTGGTATCACAACGGACAGGGGTACACAAAGGACTTAATCATATAACGTAAAAAAGAAACTATATAGGGTGGTACGATTTTAGAGTAATGCATAAACAAAATCCCTTGTAGTGGTGCTCACTTGCAGAATAACAACTTAGATTTCTAAATTATAGACACCCTTTTTCTTTGACTATAAGCTGGTGTCTTTTAGTACTTGTATATTGCGTGGAATTTTCCCTTGGATGTAATCTATATCATGAGTTGTAATCACAAATAATTTTAAATTGGTTTATTATAAACTACTTTTAATAAAAGCGACGGTAAATATCCACTTTGTTGTCGAAAAATTCTATTGCGTTACCCTAAATTCCATTGCGGACAAAGTTTTGTGAAACCGTATTTTAAAAATAATAATAAGACATTACAGTCATTAATTTCTCTCAATGAGCTTTAGTGCCCTAAAATAAACATAAACATGAAAAATAGTATTTTTTCTTACCTTATTTTTATTATTTTTTTGAGTAACTTAGCGGACAAACAATTATTACATTCGCGTTACCCGCACCTGTTACAACCGATATCTTCTTCCTGATTGAATAAATAAATTCAGCTGGGTAATTTGTACGTCCGAACATCATTTGTTGATCACGTGAGTGCCAAAAAAGTTGCGATATATGTTTTTTTAAATATTCTATCGGTAACGCGACGGACGTAACGCAACGGAAAAAATGTCTTGGACATAAGTCAAATTTAAAAAAAGTAGATTAAACTTAATTAATTTATATATAAATTGTTTACTGTATTAACTAAGGATGTTATGGATTGCTATAAAGCAAACCAAAGTTCTGGTTATTCGATATTTAAAAAAAACATGTATATTTTTTTTTATAAAACGCTAATGGGACATTATTATGAAATAACTAAACAAACATTTTCTGAAAGAGTTTACTAAGGGCTTGTTAGGCTTTCACTTGGTTTTAAATCAATAAAATCCCATAATTTTTAACAAAGTTATTGGAATTCAAACTTACGGACAGCGGAAGGCGGGTGTTTTTTGAGAATGACCCTTATATGTATTTTATTTTATTTTATTAAAATCTAAAGTTATATTTTTGAATTTCTTCTAAAATTTCATACAATCTTTGATTTTAATTCTAGCAGCTAGCGCTATCTATGTTACAAAACGCACAACTAATGATTTTGCAGGATTTCTGTTGTTTTACTTATTTTGCAGTAGATGGCGTGACCAACAACTGTCAAATAAACATAACCTTATAAAAGTGTAAATATTGAACGTTATTGTGCAAAAATAACGATTTTGGTATAAATATTGCGTATAAACGTTAAAAAATGTCGAAACCGTAAGTTTAAATGCATTTTTATTGCCATAGAAGTAGTTATAACGTCCTATTTTTAGATATGGGTTAATGCAACCCGACAAGTATAAAGCGTTTAAAAAAGGCGAAGTTTCCGCTAGATTATCGGTATTCCAAGACGATTCCGATTCTGATACCGAAGTTTATAAACCTACAGGCTTGAAAAAAACCGTGAAAAAGCAGGAAAAATTGAATCAAAATAAGGCAATCGAGGAAGACCCCACCGTGTATCAGTACGATGAAATATACGACGATATGGACCAAAAAAGAAAGGAAAGTAAACTGGCGAGAAAAGATGTCGATAAAAAACCGAAATATATAAGTAGATTACTTGTGGCAGCCGAAAGACGTAAAAGGGAGAACGAGCGTAGGATTGAGAGACAAGTTCAGAAGGAAAGAGAAGAGGAGGGGGAGGAATTCAAAGATAAAGAATCGTTTGTGACGTCAGCGTATAAGAAAAAGTTGGAAGAAATGAAAGAGTTGGAAGAACAAGAAAAACGCGAAGAATATTTGGAGAGTATTGGAGATGTAACAAAACAAGGGAATTTGGACGGTTTTTATAGGCATTTGTACGATCAAAAGTTGAATTACGGTGACAAAATAAAAAAAGAGAATGAGGAAGATGAGAAAGTCGAAGTTAAAGAGGAAAAAAGTCCGGAAAAAGAAGAAACTCCAAAACCAGAAAAATCAAAAAAACAGTACAGACCTCGTAAAACGTCGAATTCCGATGAGGAAAACATCGAGGAAGAATCGCAAGAAATAAAAAAAGAACACCTGCCATCAAATCTAGATGCAGACTCAGATTTCAGCATAGATTCATCGGACAGCGAAGATGAATCTAAAACTCAAAAAACAGATACAAAAACCGATAAAACGGACGAAAAACCACAAGTGAGTGAAGAAATTAAACCTCCTGAACCAAAAATTGAGGAAAAAGTCGAAGAAATTGTTGAAATTGAACCTCCCAAACCTAAAAAACCAAAAGTTGATATATGGAAAAAACGGACAGTTGGGGCTGTTTTCGACGAGGCCCTCAAACGGTATTTTGAACGAAAATCACTCAAAGAATCAGGATTATAATTTTCATAAATAAAACTCATTAAAACTTTAAATAATTATTTATTTTACAACCTAACGTTACATTTTATTTTACCATGGCCTAACTTTGGACTGTGTGGCATGCGACAACATCCACGTGTTTTTCGGATCTTTTATCATAGACATTTGTTTATGCCTTGGGTGTGTTTCACATATTACATATAGCCGTTCTTGTCTCTGCACAAAATAGCAATCTTTACAACGCTTTCTAAGTTTCCCTTTAACTTTAAAACCACAATTCGGCACTAAACTCGGTGTAAAGGGCTTTAATAATGATATTTGTGGCGTATTATTTGGAGTAATAGCATTTAAAACGTGAAAATTTGATTTTATTATATTTAGAGTTGTAGGTAGTCTTTTAACTATATTTAACGTGGTATTTAGTATTGGGAACATGGTAGATGCCTAAAAATATGGTTTTAATAGGTTTAAAGTTTCAAAAATGAGTATAATACCTTAAAAATGCATTTAATTGTGGGGTTAAGGTTAATCTTCTTCTTCTTTGTTTGACAGTTAATGCCCTAGGATTAATGCCATAGAAGTAGAAAAATGTAGAAAATATTGGTAATTTGTGTTTATATGCGTTAATTTACTATAATTTACATACAAATAATATTTTTAAGGCAAAATATATTTCATTTTGTTATTATTCTACAGTTTCATTGCATAATATCGTTTATTTAGCAAGTTTTTGTTTTAAAACCATAGAATCACGTACCATAGATAACGATTATTAATATCTTAAAAAACAGTCAAAACATAAAATGATTGCATTCTTTAAACCAAATAAGATTAAATTATCGTAAATAAAACTTAATCGCGCATAAATAACGGTATTTAATGAACAGCTGATTAGCAAAACAAGTATTTTTTAAGACGTAGATTGTCAAGTAAGTGAATGTGTTCATAATCTGAATTTTTACTTAATATTTACAATAATATTGTGTTTAAGAGTTGTATAAATACTTTAATATAATTATTGTGATTTTATAGTAATTATTGGAAGTAATAACACATCGTTTTGAGTTATTTTTGTTGTTATTTAGACTCTTAACTACTGCGCGTTAGCAGCGGAAGCCAGCAATCGATTGTTTTGTGTCACAACATAATAAAGAACGGAGTTATTTCACGTTAGAGAAGATATTTGTACAAGTTTTCGGTAAATTTTCGGTGATTAAATTGGAAAAATGAAGTTCCAATACAAAGAAGAACACGCCTTCGAGAAAAGGAAGACCGAGGGCGAGAAAATCAGAAGGAAGTACCCTGACAGAGTCCCAGTAAGTAGAAATTACAGAACAAAGGGAAAAATGTTGACGTTGAATGTCATTTTTATATTTTAAAGTACAAAATTGGAACAATTCTCGTATGTAAAAAGTATGTTTAATGGTGCTAAATACGTGTTTATTATGACAAATCCGTGTTATTTACGTAAATATCCAATATGGCGTTTGCAAGGTCATTATAGAAAATTAATCATGAACTATTTTTATTATTTTTCGTATTGTTTGTAACGTCAGAATTTTTGGCATAAAAATTGGCTTTTAAAATATGTTTTGATTTAATCATTGTATATGCAGCTTTATAATAATATTATAGATAAAAAATATTGTTATTATACCTACTGTTTTATTGTGCACAAATAAACAAATAAAATATTGATAATATTGCGCAATAAATAAACGAAAAACGTCATGATTTATCGTATACAGGGTATCGAATTCCATCGAAAAATTTTGAGGGGTTAATCTACATGTAGGAAATCTAAAACAAAATAGTAAATGTTTATTAATTACAATTGAATTAATAAAAAATAATAAGTAATCTTTTTCTCCAAGGTTATTGTAGAAAAAGCACCCAAAGCACGTATTGGAGATGTCGACAAGAAAAAATATTTGGTTCCATCCGATCTCACAGTGGGTCAGTTCTATTTCTTAATCAGAAAGAGAATTCACTTGAGACCTGAAGATGCTTTATTTTTCTTTGTCAACAATGTTATCCCCCCTACCTCCGCTACTATGGGGTCACTATACCAGGTAGGTCAAAATTACATGCGAGGAGGTGAGAAATATGTAATTACAAATAAAAAATAATTTTTTTAGGAGCACCATGAAGAGGATTTCTTCCTGTACATTGCATATTCCGATGAGAATGTCTATGGAAGCAACCTTTAAATAAATAATAAACACCCCAATTATTTTTTTTATGTTAATAATGATAACCTCAATTATTTTTACAATACTTTTAATATACCGTTTTCAGTTGTGATAATGAATTATTTGATTGGGTTTTGATTATAAATTTAAACATAAAAAAATTATTAAACTTCTAGTGTAATATATTTAGGCATAGTCTCGCACCTTATTTTGATAAAATTTTATTTCTAGACCGAGAATGAAATGAATTTCTCAAAATTTAGCTATAAGATATTTAAGTAAGTAATCACGAAAAATAATGAAAAAAAAGCATAATCTCTGGTAGATGAATGTTGTGTAACATCTATTTTTAGTTATTACAGGCTTTATTTATTTTTATTTTTCTGTGACTGAAAATATGTGATCAAAAACTTAAAAAAACTAATAAAATTTTGGAAAACCCAACCAATATCTTATTTTTTAACCAATATGTCCCCAAAAAAATGTTTAAATAAAAAAATTATTATATCTGGGATTTTCAGCACAATCCGGCAACCACGCAACGTTGCACGACCTGGCTACGCCGCTTTATTGGAACTACCACCATCGGTTCACCACGCCTACTCGTTTAGTCCACAATTGTCGCAGAATGTATGTTTTACGGCTTACGTCAACCAATTACTGATTAATATGCCCTATATTTGATGTGATTGGTTGATGTAAGCCATAAAAGATACATTTTGCGACAAAATTGTAGAAAATGTACTCTGTTGGAACAAAGACGAGGGAGATTTGAACTACGACGCATGCGCGCAATGGCTTTTTATTTGACATTCTACTCATCAAGGTTACCTAACCTCAGTTTTCAAAGGAGTTGATTTGAATTGGTTTTCAAGGATGTCAGACAAAAAAAGTGCATTGTTTGTGTGTCTGGGTACATAATTTAACGTATTTTCAACAATTATAATTAAATTTTGACTATTTTAGGTAATATATGCCGATCACCTATTGCCGAAGGTGTTTTTCAGCATTTAGTAAAAGAAAGGAATTTGGGGGATAAATGGGAAATTGATAGTGCAGGTTTAGGGGGTTGGCATAGCGGAAACCGTCCCGATTCAAGAGCCATGAAAACAATGCAGAAATATAACATTGAATACACTAATCGTGCAAGACAAGTTAGTATGTTTTTATTTTAATGTTTATTGAATAATAAATGAAACAAATTTGAGATTTTTTACCCTTATTTAATGCTTAAAAATAATATAAACTTAAAGTTAAACTTAAAACTAAGGCAGTTGATATCATGGTGTAACTGTATAGGGTGTCACCACCTAAAATATAAGAAATCATACTTATTAACAAAATATTATGATATGGTATGTGGAGTTAAAAAATCGCTATGGGTCATTCCATCTTAAATTGACCAGGCAAAAAAAGGTTGGTCGTTATTTTTCAACGAATTTTTTTTTACAGTTTCTATACCAAAATCGATGAGACCCTTATTTTTTATTTTTGCTTAAATTTGTTTTGTTCACCCATAGGAAATTTTTGAAATATGGACAGAACATTGATTTTTTTTACGAGTGACATTTTTTTTTGAAAATGCGATAACTTGACCAAAAATGTTTCGATCGTTACAATTTTTTTTTTAAATTGTAGGTAAATGAACAAAAAATACAAAAAAAATATATAAAAAATTAAGTGAAATCACTCAATTTTTTTTATGAGGTCAAAATTTTGACATTGCCACAATTATTTTATTTTATAAAAAGTTTTGGCGTATGTTTTCATAGTAAAATAAAATTCACTTACCAGCAAAACAAACTAAAAAAAAACATAAAAACATAGAAAAAGGATTTTAAGGCGATATTATTAAAAAATGCATTAATATTTGGAATCAAATTTTAAAAAAAACTGGATTTCTTTTGTGAACAACAAACCACCCTCTAAAAAAAAATAATGTTGGTTAAAGTATGGTTTTTTAATTTTAAAGCCTCTAAAAACCAGCATTGGAAAAAAGAATAAAATTGTACTTGGCCCAACATTAAGCAGAAAAACCAAGGCACTCTATGAGTATGGGAACGTATGGCAAGCCCCAGATATATTATCATCCACTGATCTCCCGGGGTTATATTACCCCCTTTCCGTTCTCCTGCGTATCCCGCCATATCACAGCATTACCTGTGTTTGTTGGATCCGAAGTTTTTACGCCGGCTGGTAGATCCACCCTAGGAGTTCGTGGATGACAGTGTCAAAGGTTAAGGCAGCTCCCGGGATTTTTGTCAGCCGGGTCGGGCCATACGTCCAGTTTAGGAAGGGTTTTTGGAGGACATTGAACTGACCCAAAACTAAGTACAATCCGGAATCCTCCTCAACCTAGGCCTTAGTAGTAACCCCATTCAATTGGTATTCGTGAATGGGGGTGGGTATGTTAGTTATTTGCTTACTCCGGCTACCAACCTTGTATATTCTTTATTTATTTTATTGCTATATTAGTGTTCATACCGTTTTCATTTATTTATATCTTTGCCTTCTTACTTATTTTTTTTTCAAATTAATTTAAAAATAAAAATATTAATATACAAAATAGATAAAGCCGGCCCTGTGGTGTATCGCATCAATATTTGAAACCCGGCCCCTATGTCAGGCGTGCAACGCATGGCTTAATAGATGGCCTACCACTTCATTTTCACGTGGGGGCTTTGCCCATTTACTTTCTCCATCCTCCAAGCTTTGCTTGCGTGAACTTATGTGTATATTATATAATATATATAATACAATAATATAATATTGCGACGCACCCACTTGATTTCCCTTCTCACACGCACGCTGCCCTCTGCAATGGTCAATTGTTGCCTGGTTTCCTGTTAAATTAGTATCTATATAAATTCAATATAAATTTCAATTAGTCCAGTGTTGTAACAGTTACAATATTTTCAGTATCTAGCTACAGTTACAGTTACTTACCAAAATTTGTAACTAGATACAGATACAGATACATATTTTATTGCAGTAACTAGTTACAGATACAGTTACCTTTAAAAAGTATCTAGATACTTTAAGATACATACAAATTATTTTTTGCTTTAAAAAATTTAAAATAGGGAATTTTAAAGTGACAACAAAAATATACATGTTTATTATTTTTATTTTTTTTATAATATTTTATTTAAAATAACTTATTTTTTATAATATTTTTTTTTAATAAATAATAGTCGCAGTTTAATTAAAAATGTATCTTTGTATCTTAACACACCTAGTTACTTAGAATTTGTAACTAGTTACAGTTATAGTTACTAGATTGGGATAAGTAACTAGTTACACAAACAGATACATAAAAAGTATCTAGATACTGTATCTAGTTACTTGTAACTAGATACGTTACAACACTGAATTAGTCAATACCAATACTAATACCAAATAATACAAATAATCAATACCAATATCAACCAATCAATCAATTAATCAATATTAACGTTAATATCAGTATCAACCAACTAATCAATCAATATTAATACTAATATCAATATCTATAATGCCATTGCAATATCAACATCAACACCAATACCAACAATGCACCATCAATACCAATACCAATACGATTATGTCCATATCAATCAATCAATTAATTTATTAATTAATTAATTAATCACTTTATGTAAATATCGATCTTCAAAATAGAGCCGGCCCTGTAGTGCATATAGTGGAATGCGGCCTTATGGCCTGCTTGGCTCTTGAGTTCTGTGCATTAGTTTGGCTTGATTTATGAGTGTGACCCTAAATTTATTTATGATAAATTTTTGTCTTCTTGCTTGAATTGGTTTATTTGCTTACGCCTTTTACGCTGGTTGTTTACGTTTGTCTACTATGAGAAAATTAGGTTGTTTATTTAACAGTTACGGAAATGTTCTTATTTTTTAAATTTAATTTTTAAGACGAATAGATTTCTTAGATTTTTTTGCAACATTGTGAAATGCTTATATAAACATTTAACTATTATACGGTAAGACATGCAATTAGAAGAATTACTTAGCTTGATTATTAGGCTATAAACCTGATGCTTTGTCTTTCGCGGGGTGGCCTTCTCCTGTAGGTTTTTGCATAGAAAAAGGATATTTTTGGAACGCTCCGATCCAGGTGCGCCGGTTGACTTATCGTTGCTGCCTCGCCTCAATTAGGTACTTATTCACTTGCACACTTTTACGGCGTTATCTCACAATTTTCGCACTTCTTGCACTTGTTTGTTTATTTATGTATTTATTTATTATTTATTAACGATTACCGATATTTCCGGATACTTTGTTTCGTTTTTGGTACTTTACGTTTGTATCGTATACGCCACTTAGGAGGTATCTTGACGCATCCGACCTCTTCGAGCATCAAGAAAAACCAAGGCACTCTAGATATAGAAATAAAATTTAATCAAAAAATTATTTGACCTGTCAAAAATTTATAAATGACGTATGCATTCAGAATTTTATTTTGAATCGAAATATGTAAAATGCATAGGGTGTTTCATTAAAAAATAAAAATTTAAGACCATTTCCGGTGAAACCGGAAGTGACAAAAATATGTGAAATATGTCAATAAGTTACACTTTATAAAGTTTCATGGCCCCAGATAAAATACCAAATTTTTGCGATGAACCACGTATTTACTAGAAAATGGTATTTTCATTAAAAAAATAATAATTCCGAAACGACGAATTTAGCCAACTTGGGACTTTTGGTGAAAGTATATTATCAACTTTGGTGAAAGTATATTTTCAACTTCAAACTATCATTTTTGACCAAGTTATCGCATTTTCAAGAAAAAATGTCACTCGTAAAAAAAAATGGATGATTTTTGTCGATTTTTCAAAAATATCCTACGGTTAAACAAAACAAACTTAAAAAAAAAATATGGGTCTCATTTCGGTATGAAATCTGTAAAAAAATGCCTGGTAGATTTGAGATGGAAAATATATTTTATCTATTTTGCGCTCATAATGACTTCATTATAACACCGCTTTCGGTGCTGTAATGAGATACTTTATCCCACCCAAAATTTTGATTTTATAGGTTGGCTATACTTTAAACAGCATAATATTTTGCATATTGGTTTTAATATTTTTATGATTTTTCTAGTATTTACGAGACTTTTCTGGCAATAAATTTTGTTTAACACCAAAGAAAATCCTTTTTTTCTTTAACATTAACAGCTGCTTATTGTAAATAAGTAATTAAGGACGGCATGGCGAATCGATTTTGACATTAACTGTCAAACCAATTACTTTGATACCAACTATCTAAAGTAAAATTGGACCAAATTAAATTTAAGGTATAAAACTATTTTTTTTATAGAATTTTTGCAAAATAGATAAAATATCATAAATAACTCATGTCATAAGACCTTTTGTCGCACAAAATGTCGTCTTATGACATTAGTTCTTAATATAATTAATATACTATTATAGGTATTTGTGTGTTTTTTGAGATGTTATTCCATGGATATGGATATGTGCACATATTGTATTATTTAATGTTATGTGCTCTAAAAGTTTTCGCCTTTTTTTGCATAAAAAAACCGGCGAGCACTTTTAGAGTACGTAATGTTACCGCTTTTTTTAAATGGACACGCGTCCTCTTCAAGCCACGAGAAATAATACCCATCACATAATTTTGGGTTGGAAGTTTGGTCGTCGACATTCGGTTTTTGTGGCACTAAAACGTTATAATAATCTTGCATTTTTATTGATATTTTTTTCCCAATTTCCGGAAATTCGTCTATGATATTGGTTGTTTCGCAGGGATCGTCGAAAAGATCAAAAAGGCACATTTTTTCTTTGCAATCAATCATCTTGTTGCTTATATTTTGTCTACATCTGCCACTTATATCAAGATTTGTTCTTGCGTCGATAATGTTTTGTTTGGTGATTGTTTTCGCGGTTATTTTACTTATAGCCAAGTTTGTAGGGCTTTCTAAAATTTCACTTATGTTATATTTTGGATTGTTGGCACCCCTGCCTGTATCGCCCGCATAGACATCATATACATTTGAACCGTCTGGTCTTTGGTAGGAACCTGAAATCAAGTAATTATTTTTTAGAAAACTAATTGTTCTTAAAATTCGCATAATATCCTGAATTAGGGTAAAACTAAAAGTTACTTTATAAATTTTTTATTAATATTATTTAAGTAATACATTACCACTCCATGTATTTCACACTCACACATTTTCGATGAATTTCAATCGCAAATAACTTTTTTATTTGATGTCGGATTTAAACGAATATTAAAGAATATTGTAGATAAATTAATGGATAATCGCTCACATTTTAAAAAATTACTAAAAAAATACGTACGTTTATAATATACAGGTTTAAACAAAAAGATGTTTTTTACCATAAGTTTAAGACACTCTGTAGAATGGCAAAACCGCATATTGTTCTAAATTAAGTTTTATTTATTAAGTCACATCTATTCTTAACAGTTTTGTTTTTGGTTCACCTCGATATATTTATTTTTGTGGAAAATATGGATTTTTTAAAAGAACATTGCAATTTCCAATATTTTTCTATGAAGAAATAAGGTTGCTATGGTTCATCCATAACCTATGGAGGATGACAATGACAGTTTTGTTGAATCATCCCATACTTGGACATGTCATATACGGCTTTCAAAAGGGCCATTCCACGCTTAATGGATAGGACAGCCGCCGTGTTTTTATTTACAAAATAATATTGTTCCACCATATTACCAATGTCAAATTTTTATAAATAGCTCTAAACAAAAGCTGTTTAACAAGGTTTTTATTTGGCAAAATTAGGTATCGTGATTGACTGTCCAATTCCTTAAAAATTAATAATTTAAAGCGTAACGGGCGGGACTATTGCAAAGTCCCGACCGTTACGCTTTAAATTATTAGTTTTTAAGGAATTGGACAGTCAATCACGATACCCAATTTTGCCAAATAAAAACCTTGTTAAACAGCTCCAGTTTAGAACCATTTATAAAAATTTGACATTGGCAATACAATAGAACAACATTATTTTGTAAATAAAAACACGGCAACTATCCCATCCGTCACGCGTGGAATGGCTCAAAAGCTATCAAATTGTTTTTTGCAAATTAATGTTTAAATTTTCTTACTTTAAAAAATGGATATGTCTCCGACTGATGTTGCCAAAGCCATTAATTTAATCCAGGATGGACGGTCACGGTATTACGTGGCAAGTGTTTTAAACGTCATAAGAAGTAAAGTACAAAGGGCAACATCAGTCGGAGACATTTTTAGAAGTAAGAAGACACCTCAAAATTAACACATTAATTTACAAAAAACAATTTGATAGCTTTTGAAAGCTGTATATGCCATGTCCAAGTATGGTATGATTTAACAAAACTGTCACTGTCTTTCTCCATAGGCTATGGATGGACCATAGCAACCTTAGTTCTTCATACAGGAAAAATATTGGAAATTGCAATGTTTTTTTAAAAAAATCCATATTTTCCACAAAAATAAATATATCAAGGTGAACCAAAAACAAAACTGTTAAAAATAGATGTGACTTGATAATTAAAACTTAATTTAGAACAATATACGTTTTATCCACTCTACAGAGTGTCTTAAACTTATGGTAAAAAACATATTTTTGTTTAAACCTGTATATTATAAACTTTGGTCTATTTTTTAGTAATTTTTAAAAAGTGAGCGATTCTCCATTAATGTATCTACAATATTCTTTAATATTTGTTTAAATCCGAAATCAAATAAAAACGTTATTTGCGATTGAAATTCATCGAAAATTTGTGAGGATCGATTATTTTGCCTGTGAGTGTATTAATATTAAGAGGTCTATCATCGCCATTTTAAATTTTTTTTCCTAAGCGAGTTTTTGTCTCAGAACTCCTAAACCATTGAATTTAACAAAATTGACTCGAAGATATTTTTTTAAGGAAATTGAATGCTCTACAAAAAAGGAAAAATGAAATTTTCCGTCAGATGAACCGTTTTCCTAAAATCATGCCTTAAAAATTGGTATAGTTTTAGAATTTGATCTTTTAACTTTGGAATTTTGTAATTCATGTAAAAATCAGTACCGGAAAAAAACCGATAAATGTTCTTATGGGAAATCAAATGCTCTACAAAAAAAGTCTCTTAACATTTTTGGCTAAATTCACTCAATCAAAAGTTATTCAAGGTTAAAGTTGAAGTCAAAACGAAATTCTTGTTTTTGTCCTCTGTAGATTTATTTTTTTATGGATGATAATTTGATTTTTTTCCTTTTAAATGTGTATTATATAACTAATTAACAATTTTCAATAAAAAACAACATGATTGTTATTATTTAAACGATTAAATAGGTAAGAGTGTAAATAATATTTTTTAAAGAAAATAGCTTCTTAAAGCGAAAAAATTAGAATGTGTTATTTTTTTTAAATTTTCAGTAATTTTATCAATAACAAAGATTATCGTAAGTAATATCATAAGGGCATTTAATTTTTCCGAAAAGAATCGAAAAAACACGTTGCTAAGTAATATTTTAACAAAAAGCATGAGTGCTGGTGGCAACAAAAATCCGAATCGAAGAGGAGGATTTTTGCACCTGCACGAATGCATTTTGTTAAAAAATATTACTTAGCATTGTGTTTTTTCGATTTTTTTCACAGGAAAAATTAGATGCCCGAATGGTATTTGACAAGACTATTTCATGAGTAACAGTTAACAATTAAAATATAAATTGCAATTTTTGGTGACAACAGCTGTCAAGTTTTGCCGCGGGTAAACTCGAATAAACTGCTGACAGGTGCTGTCACAGTTTTTTCACCTAGAAACCATTTGTAATTCAAAATTGCGCGTTTGTGATTGGTGGAAATTAAGACGAGGGAAATAGTCATCGATAAAAGAAAGTTTTTAACTAACCCAAAAAAAAATCTAGAGCGAAAAAAACAAGAATTTCGTTTTGACTTCAAATTTAACCTTGAATAACTTTTGATGGAGTGAATTTAACCAAAAATGTTAAGAGACTTTTTTGTAGAGCATTTTATTTCCCATAAGAATATCTATAGGTTTTTTTCCGGGTACTGATTTTTACATGAATTACAAAATTCCAAAGTTAAAATATCAAATTGTAAAACCATACCTATTTTTAAGGCATAATTGTAAGAAAACGGTTCATCTGACGGGAAATTCCAATAAAACCTTTTTTGTAGAGCATTCAATTTTCTTCAAAAAATATTCTCAAGTCAATTTTGTTAAACTCAATGGTTTGGGAGTTCTGAGACAAAATCTCGCTCAGGAAAAAAAAATCTAAAAATTGCGATGATAGATCTCTTAATATTAATATTATGGACTCAATCTTTCACCATAATTTTTTTGTCACCCCAAACAATATTTTCGATATACTTTACAAAAAAAATGGTAGATTTTTTGGCCCAGTCTACAGACTGTAGACTACAGTACATACTAGTACATACTTACTATTAACAAGTTTATATTGTCCAGAATAATCAATATAGGCAGAATATTTCAATCGTTCGTCAATATTTACTAATAATTCATTCCTAGATGCTTTGTTGTTTAGTATATTGTCCCACTGGCTTATGCCATCCAAAATGCCCAATTTCGACATATCCCCACCTTAAAAAACCAACGTGGCCATTAAAGAAAAAAAAATTGCAAAAGTGATGTGGAATCATACCACATCATTTGGCATTTTAAAACAAACCTGCAGCTTCGTATAGGGTAGGCAACCAATCCGATATATGCATTAAATTTTCGTTAACATACGGGGCGTTTTTTATTAAGGGGCTGTATACTGCGCATGTGCCACGCACCGATCCCTCAAAAAGTGTGAATTTTTGCTAAAAAGTGTTGTTTTTGTTATAGTATGTTAAAAAAAAGTCAGGTTGGAACTGACCAAAAGATATCAGATTCCTTATAAATATATACTAGGGGCTATAATGATCTTTAAAATCGAGAGAAAGTGACGTTATAATAAATGGTGTTAATATTACCTAACTGTAGTGGATAACACATAGTATTACACTCGAGGTAATAGTATTAGGGTTTTAAAATTTTCAGAAAAATTCACTTTTTAATTTTTTAAATTTTATTCAAAGGCTAATACCTACAAAAAAATGCAAAAGTCAATTTTTTTGAAAATTTCCAAATTTTTACGGCTAGTAGCCGTGAATTTCCAACGCTGTTATAATCATATAATATTATGATTACATGAAGAGAAAAGTATAATGCTGATTACCATAATTATAATACCCTTTACTATAATTTATATTACTATTTGGGTCAACTATCTTGTATATTGCCAGATACTATGCATACTTAGTAATTTTTAAATATCCATGTATGTTAAACCTTAAGGTAAAATATTATTATTCTCAACATCACGTGATCCACACCGTCTGACGACGCGTCGCGACGTGGCCTTTGCCGCAATCGGTACATACTATGCAACCAAGTAGGTTCAATTCTTTCTTTTAAGTATTATCAGTAATGGGTCAAGAAAGTTTATTAAAGAAACTAAGAAAATTGAATGTTTAAAATGTCATGAGTTACTATATTGTATATTATATTTAAATATATTGTTTATTTACCTTAAACATAAAAGTATCTTTATTTTTACTATATTTTTTTATTAATGTGTAATATATTATAATATTAGATGTACACCTTACATTTGATTAAATCATATAGTAAATATTACTATTTGTAGATAGTAAAATCAATTTTCTATACGAACATATTAAAAATTATAATATATATTATACATTTATGATTTAGTAATATTGGTGTTGTAATCTTTACTAAAATTGTATAATAAAAAATAGTATTTTGTATTACAATCTTAATATTGTATTGACGAATATATAATATTGTTACCCTAAAAATTTGTTAAAGTAAATTTTTCTTTTTTTTTACTATTTAAAATTTACTATACATTTCTCTCCGTGTATTATTTTGTAGAAATTGACTGCTATCTCATTGTGTGATTATGAATCAAGGTTGTTGCTTTCAACTGAAATGTCTACAATTATTTGTTAAAATTTGAAAATAATATCTTAATTTTTTTTATTTTTCCTTACTAGCTCTTTATATTAGCGCTTCAAAAAAAATTATTATTTATGTTCTGTAAAACCAATTTTTATACCTAGCAACTTTACTTAAAAAAAACACCCGATATATTGCATGTATTTTCACCACACCCCCTTAAATTATGTTTTACCCCTCTTAATGGCCAATTTGATCCAGAATTCATATGAAAATCTCCACTGGTTTGAGCCCCATTGTCATTGGAATATATGATTATGGAATTCTCCAATATTTTTTTTTCTGATAGCTTTTCTACAACTCTGCCTATGGATTTGTCTAGTTGATATACAATATCTGTAATAAAAAATTTTAAGAATCTGAAAATTATCAAGTCTAGAATAAACCTTAGACCATAATTTAAAAACAGAAAATAACAAAGTATAGTAAATTTAAAAGGTAACGACGTACACGTCATCAATGTGATGCTAAAATCATTGACAAGTGGTAGTGGAACTACAGGGCGATAGATGGCGTTTATATGAATAATACCACAGGGTCTCTAGATTTGGGACCTTAGAATACCAAAATGTCAAAAGTCAGAGTTTTATAACCTATATATGGTATATATTATTATTTTATATATCCAACATATATTTTGTTAAATATTCTAATATATAATTAATAATAATCCTATTTACCTCTCTAACAGCTGTTAAAGGTAACTAATGTCCATTATTATCACGTTCTGCCTCAAAATAGCGCATTAAGGATTTTTAATATAGAAAAAACAAAAAAAAAACGATATATAACAAACACAAAAACGGCAATGAAAACTTAAACGATATAAAATATTACAAACAACAAACAAAATAAACGAAATTATACACGAATTAAACGAAATATTCAAAAACACAACTGACACCTTCAAAATTCTAAAACGTCAATTTCTTTTTCTATGCGCCATTTTATTAAGCAAAATTTTAATCTAACCACGACAACATTGCAATTGCTGCCAACTAAAGTGGTTTAAAATGCATTAAAATATTCATTTACCAGTGTAATTTCTTCTTCTTGGATCTTCCACATAACCGAATTTTTTATTGGTCTCATCCAAATCTGGAGTCGTTAGGGCGTTCATGTTGTCCTCATTTCCCGCATGAGGTGCCAAATGGGATATCATCAGAAAAAGAGGCTCATTTGTATCGTGATTGTCAATTATTTCTAAACTTTTGTCCGTGAATAAATTTGTTGCGTATGTTCCTTCGTAGTTTTTAGCGTAGGCCGTGTTTTCGTGCAAGTCAAAACCGTCGTTACCAACCTAGCAAAAAAAATGACATTAGGGATCATGACCATTTTAACACCAAATTAACACCATACATAGTCTATATCGATACAAACCAAAATGGTGTTAAATATGGTTCGTTGGTCCGGTGTAAATTCAAATACTAAAATGGTGTACATTTAACAGTATTAAAATAAATTTTACCTGGTGTAAATTAAACTCCATTTCAGTGTTTTTGGTCAAATTAAATCATACCTACTACACAGAAAAAAGGAAACAGGAAGTTCCTTGACGCATTACTAGTATATTACCAGTGGTATTATTCCAGAAAATTGAACCTTCAACTCGCTAGAGATAATGTTTTTAGTGCGTTCCACCAACTTCAAATACTTCAAGTATTGACAGCTGTTTCCACCTATTTAAGGACTCTTTAGTATCGAAAAACTTGTGGTGTCACACCAAAGCAAAGGACTACCCGAGCTTATATACTCTTCATGTAAGTCAACAGAGGCGAGATTTAAGAACATCAAGTGATCCACACCGCCTTTGCCGCGATCGGTACACACTATGCAACCAGGAAGGCACGGCAAATTGTTTTAATCGTTTTAACAGAGTGCTTTAGGTTGAAGTAACTCTTATTTTACAAACAACATATTTAGTAAACTGAACCATACAGCGGGTTGGTTTCACTAAAGTTTTCTGGGTTTATTTAACCAATTAAAAAAAAATAACTATCTGGTTTAGTTACGTCAAACTAATCTTTGTTCCCACAGTTGATTTAAATAAATACTTATGGGTCAACTAAATTAATATAGTTAAATGAACTATTCCTTTTTTTCTGTGTAGGTGCACTTCTCAAATATTTTTAGATAAACACCGTTTTGGTGTTTGCTGTATATAACATTTTCAACCATAATTCATGGTGTTTATATTAACACCACTTGGTGTTGGATTTTGACACCATTTTAAGATTACTCTTTACACCACAGATATTTTAAACAGTGTAATAGGGAGACCGAATTAAATAAAAACATTCTTACCTCATTGTAATATTGCATATTATAGTTAACATAACTGATGAATCCATTCCAGTATCCAAAAAATGTGTCAAAACCTCTCTCGTTTGGTGTATATTTTTTGTATGAAAATCCGACATGCCATTTTCCCACCAAGTGAGTTTTATAACCTAACTCTTTGAGTCTTTCTGGCAATACACTCATTTCAGTGGGTATGGATCTGTTTTCTCCAGGTTTCAAGGGGTAACCCTGCATGGCTGTTAAACAAAAGAGTAGAAACAAAGTTAACGTTATTTTAAATTTTAGACATAAAATTTGAAATTTTGATAATTTTTCACTCGTTTTATTTTTCATCCATGTTAACACTAAAGTCATATTTTCAATCAGATAAAAAATATCATATAAGAATTTTCATTCTGCGAATTAAAACTATCATAGTAAAGTTAATTGTCGAGTTGAGTTGTCATAATTTGTAGTTAAAAATGCAATTAATTTGACTTTGGTGGTGCGTAGATGAGTAAAATCATATAAAAAGTAGTTAAATATAGGTGACTACGGCCTAAATCAAACTGGCATAAGCTACCAACTTAATAAAAAAACACGATTCCAAATAAAAAAAAATGAACTGAAGATATTTAAAAACACTGCTATTTTTAATTAAGTGAATTTAAAATATCTGTTTCATATATTTGTATTTTTTAGTTAAACACATATTTTTTTATTTTTTAAATTAAACAGATATTTTAAATTCACTAAATAAAAAATATTAGTTTGGCATAAAAATAAAATATAATTTTAAAATATCTGCTATCTGCATTTATACAGGGTGTTATGTAATTAATGTTATATATTAAAATGGGTTGTTCCTTAGGGTCCATAAAGAAGCACCTGAAACTTTTTTTTCTAAATTCCAAAGTCTAAAAATAATTTATAATAACCTTTATCCTACCAAAAAGTACGCCACTGATCGACTAGGAACTTTAGGTTAATCTGGTGGATTTATTATGTTATGGTTGGTAACAACAGTTTCCAAAATCTGTCAAAAAAGTCGACAAACATTGTTTAAATTTAGCTTAATTACAAAAATGACAAAATTAACAATGCAAATTGTCAATTTGGCGTTTTTATTAATTGTTGGTTATTTCATTTTTGTACAGAAGGTAAATTCAAACAAAATCTGCCAATTTTTATGACAGAATCTAGTGCATTTCTTTTAAATTTTAGGTTATGTTTTCAAATTGTAAATATCTTAACTAAGGGAAGTGCTTTTGGATTTATTTACACAAATTAAATGTTTAAAGTTTAACCTGTGAACTGGTCCCAATTTCATCTAAGTAAACAGAGAAAAAAACTGATGAAAAAATTAATTTTGTGGTTATGGATTTCAAATTTCAAAGGTACTAAATTTTCTAATCATTGCTTAAGCTAATAGCTGGATCAGTAAATAAATACAGAAGGGTATTGGAGCTTTAAGGGCATAAAACTTTTGTATTTATTGAGTTTTTATTTATTTTTTGCAAGAAAAATTTTTAGTAACAATTTTTTACATCTGGCAACGCATAGCTACTTTGTTGGTTGGTATCCATGTACTCACAAAATACAAGTGTGCAGAGATAAACTAAGTATGTAACCAGTGGCGTATCACAAAAAATATAAAAAACTTCTAATGCATATTTTTTCTTTATCTTTGGAAAAATGTTTTTTTAAATATTTTTCCTTTATTCCCTGTATAATACACAAAAATATCAAAATCCTAACCTATGAGTACCACTAATTAATAACCAACAAAATAACACTTGTCACACTCCAAGTGAATAAACTTTTTGCTTACCAGATCTGATGGGGTAATTTCCGGTGAGTAGGGCGGCCCTAGATGGCGTACATATGTGTTGGGTGTAGTATCTGTTCATAACCACTCCATTGTAAGCCAAAGCGTCTATGTTCGGTGTGGGAATTTGGTTCGAACCATGGAAACCAACGTCGTTCCAGCCCTGGATGTTTAGTTTTATAAAAAAATACGTTCGATTTTTGAGAAACATAACAATATCAGTAAATTCAAAGCTTTTTTTTCACGACTATTTTTATTTTTTCGCCACTCATCTTATTGAAAATGTTCCAAAAAAAAATCCCAAAAAAGTACCCAAAGCGTATAAAGATTTCCCATTTAAAATTCTCATGTTTTTGAAGATATTTCAAATGTGACTGGATTCATCAAAAAAATGCAAAGGACAAACTTTTAGAAAATTTAATTTTCTTTAAAAAATTTCCAATCAGTTGAATCGCTAAGATTGGTATTTGTTGAGATATAAAGCGTTTACATTGACATATTATGAAATTTTTCAGGCTTTTCGTACCAAACTTTTTATAAATGATGATTTTCAATTGTTTATCATTACAATTTCATGTAATTACGTTTTTTCTACAGTCGGGTGATTAGAGAAAAATAAGTAAAACAATCAAGCAATAATAATAACAAAAGATATACATACATATAATTTCATTTTTTTATCTGGACTGCGGCAACGTTGCAAATTTAGGGTTTTGGTTGGTAAATACAGTTGTCAAGTTGGTCGCATTGATTAAAACAAACTAAGATAGTTATATGGTTATGTATAAATTATTGTAGGTTACATTGTGCAGTTGTCAAGATGAGTTGTCGAAATTCGTAGTTAAAAATGCAATTAATTTGGCTTTGGTGGTGCTTGGATGAGTAAAATCATATAAAAAAAGTAGTTAAATATAGGTTGCTTTACGGCCCAGAAGAGAAAGTATTCCTAGCGGATAATAATCTTCGCTTTGCAAAGAATTTATATAAAAGAAATTAAAATTTTTTGTGAACGTAAATGTTGTCCTATGGTGAATAATGTGAAAATAATGTGTGATGTAATATTTATAAAACCAAATTCTTCTTTTTACTCCAAAAATGTCCATAAGGCGATGTAGTTTTTCTTCCATTGTGGCATTTGGCATAATTTCATCAAAATGAAGTTTTGCCCTCAAAAGGGCTTTTACATTCGTTGCTAATATTTTTGGTATAATTATCTTTTTTATTTATAATTGACAAGTAAATTATCAATAATAAATATTATTGTCAATTTGACAGTGTCAAAGTATTTAATTAAATTCTTTAGCAGAAGTACCATTTTTAAATACTAAAAATACCAAGTCAAACTGGCATAAGCCACCAACCTAACAAAAAGACACGAGTCCAGATAAAAAAAAATTAACTGTAACTAACCTAAAAATTGAAATAACATAATATTATTATAGTTGTACTAGTTTTATAGTCTGTATCGCGCTCATTAGAAAAAACACCTTTTAATGCCATTTAAAATTACTACTCTTCCCTTTTTTTAAATATCTATAAACATAATTTTTATAATTAAAACCAAAAGATTGAAAAAATTAGTTTATTATACCTAACCTCAAATATTAAAAAACTGCGTTTTCCACTTGTGGGTTAGAATAAGTTTAAATAAATACATATTACACAAAAATACTTACCATATCATCGCTTAATATAAAAACTATGTTTGGTTTTCTTCCAAAAACACATACTAATAAGTTTAAATTTAATAGTATTTTAAACATTGCTAATAAAAAATTAACTAGTATATTATATTTTTTGACTTAAAATTGTTTCTGCAGTTCAACTCAACTGCGAGCATAACCGAATCGGTTAAACCGATCAGTGTCAAGCGCAACAAAAATTATTAATTAACCCAATGAAAATAAGTTATCTGGTTTTTGCAGTAACCCGACGATATATTTTAAATTCCTTTAATACATTTAATCTATTTTAAAACAGTGTTATCACATGGTAAACCCGTCGTAAACTGAATTGAATGAATACTTTTGCAGGTGTATTTAATTTAAAACAATAAGAAATAAAGAAACACTTAAACAAATAAATAAAGTGCGAAATCCTGCTGTATATTAATAAAACAACTTATTAAATTTTATTGCTTTACTCATACATATCTACTGATCATGATTTATCAATCAATATTTCTATTTGATCGAGAAAATTTCTCTTGCCTTAGTTTACTTTCACTTTGAAAAAGAGAGAAGCTTAAAAATGGGTATCAATTTTCTTCCTTAAAAATATTGAAAGGCCGAGATCTGCTAAATTTTACTTTTATCGTGTTTAATTAAGGTTATCTAGGTGTTATTTAATAATTGTCCGATATTTCACAGGGCAATTTTTAAGATAAAAAGTTCATATAAAAAGTTTGGTCAAAAACACTTCGTTTTCAAGATACAGGGGTGTTAAAGATGTATTTTCATTTTTTAGCCATTCTATTTAATTTTTTAAGATACAAAATTTGGAACCTATTTGTTTTTTTTTTAATTTTATTTAGTTGCTGCTGAGGAGCAGTAGACACATCTTAAAATGTATAATGGGTTGCATACAATATTCGCATTAAATCTTATAAAAAAAATTTTGACCTTGTAACCCAAACAACTTTTTTGTTTTTAACTCTTTTCCAGATTGAAGACGAAGATTTCCAAAAATTCGACTACATTTTTGGGATGGACGAAAACAACATTTCAAATTTGAAGAGTCAAAAACCGAAAGGCAGCAAATGCGAAATTCTCCTTTTGGGCGATTTCGACCCAACTGGTGATCGTATTATCCGGGACCCGTATTACGTAAGCATACAATTTTTATTAAAGTCGATTCTCTGTTTTGCTATAAAGATGTGATTCATCATTTGAATCTCTAAAGTTGTCAGGGTGTAAATTTTTATAAACTTTAAAACTGTTTATTTTTTATTTTTGCAGGATGATGACAGCGCTGGTTTTGAAAAATGTTATCAACAGTGTTTGAGGGCTTGTAATGCATTTTTAGATAAGGTACAATAATAAAAAATGTGATTTTATTTGTTTATTAATATAAGTCTAAAATTTAACCTTTGTTTTTATTTCCCACACCTTCTTTTAAGAGAAAAAAAAATTTAATGAAAATTCCCAGAAACTCGGAATTTTTCAAAATTTGGCAAACATAAAAAAATATATATCGGCAACGCCGCAAAAAGTTTTTAAAATATCCTTCAATCTGGGATATTCTGCACAATCCGGCAACGTCGCAAAAAAATAATACCAAATCTGAAATTTGTGTGCAAAATTTGTGATTTTTCGAATTTTGTATCAGGATATTTTGCGACGTTGCCAGATTGTGCAGGAAATCCCTTAATCTGGGATATTTTGCACAATCCGGCAACGTCGCAAAGTATCCGGAGCAAAAATATTACCTCCTCGCATTTCTGCTACCCTGATAAAAATCTGAAATTTGTTTAAATTTGCTAAATTTAGGATTTTACGAATTTGGTATCAGGAGAGCAGAAATGCGAGGAGGTAATATTTTTGCTCCGGATATTTTGCGACGTTGTCAGATTGTGCATAAAATCCCTCAATCTGGGATATTTTGCACAATCCGGCAACGTCGCAAAGTATCAGGCGCAAAAATATTACCTCCTCGCATTTCTGCTCTCCTGATACAAATCTGAAATTTGTTCAAATTTGCTAAATTTGGGATTTTTCGAATTTTGTATCAGGATAGCAGAAAGGCGAGGAGGTATTATTTTTGCTCCGGATACTTTGCGACGTTGCCGGATTGTGATGAAAATCTCAGATTAAGGGATTTTTTCAAAAATGGGTTTAAAATTTTTTCGAATTTTGTATCAGGATAGCAGAAAGGCGAGGAGGTATTATTTTTGCGCCGGATACTTTGCGACGTTGCCGGATTGTGCATAAAATCTCAGATTGAGGGATTTTTTCAAAAATGGGTTTAAAATTTTCACCAAAAGTTAAATTTCAAATTTTTATCAGGATAGCAGAAAGTCGAGGAGGTATTATTTTTGCGCCGGATACTTTGCGACGTTGCCGGATTGTGCATTAAATCCCAGATTGAGGGATTTTTTAAAAAATGGGTTTAAAATTTTCATCGCAAAAATTAGGATAATGCGACGTTGTCGGATTGTGGAAAATACCAGATTTGAGGTTTTGGTTAAATAAAACCCGTTGAATAGGTGTCAAACATTTTTATTAACATATATACTGTTTGACATTAAAATTTTCTCTATCTATATTGAAAAAGCTTAGTTACTTTAAATTAAATAAAAGTTACAATTTAAGATATCCTTTAAACATATTTATGGATATCATTTTTAAATAAAACGATAAAATTACATTTAGGTTACCTATAGCAGTATTTAACGGCGGGACAAAATGTTTTAAAAATTTCTCTTCAAAAATAAGATTGTTAAAACACGTTGCCAAGTCTTACGCATTAAAAACATATTGATTTGCGTAAGACGCACAATTTCATGGGTTTTAAAATTATACCAATAATTCTTAAAATTTGTACAAAAAAATCGAGTAAAAAAATAATAAACACAATTAATTTTTTTGTCATCAAATATGTACAATTTAATTAAACAAGTAAATGTAAATCAATTTTTACGAAAAATAACAATCAATTAAAATTTAATATTAAGAAAGTTTTTTTTATATATTTATGTTATAACAAGACAATAAAAACATTTACTTGTCGCTAAATTACGAAAAAATAATTTAAAGAGCGTCAAACACCCTGTATAATAATAATAATTAGTAATAGTATTAATACAAGGAACTCTGTATGATAATCTATAAAAATTGCATTTTTTTCAAAAAAATAAGTTAATATGTATGTAAATTTTACAAACGTTTAAAAATCTTGATATAGTTACTCTTCTACCTAAGTATACAGGGTGACCCAAATTAATTTAGCCAGGCTCTAGTTCCTAAAGAGTGAAAGATTTTTTAGTAAAAAAAAATTTCACAAAAGTTTATAATAAATAACCAAGATACAGGGTGTCAAAGTTTGTTTTCGATTTTATTAAATAACTTTGGAAAAAACAAACGTCTGTCAAAATATATTCTGTAAAAGTTGAAAATAACAATTATTTATTGTAGTTTTAATATTTTATTCTACAAAATTAAATTTCTGGAGCATATCTGCTAAAGCTGAGTTTACATTTTGTAAAATAAAAATTATCAACTTTAAATTTCTCAAGAGTCATTTAAATGATAGTCAATACATTTTTAATCCAAAAATTACCACTTTAAAATTTAAAACCAAAATTTAAATTCAATGTGATAATTTTTGTATTCAATGTAACGACTATTATTTTAATAACTCTTTTCAAATTTAAACCGAAAATTTTGTAGAATACCATATTAAAACTACAATTTTTAAAAATCAATATTTTTTAACTTTTAGTTGTATTGAAACATCTTAAACGGTTTAGGAACTAGAGCCTGGCTAAATCATTTTGAAACACCCTGTACAGTAAAATAAACTCATCATTTTTTTTTTAATTTAATTTGTCCAAATGTGAGGATATTGTACTGCAACCGCCTTAAAACATCTAAATCGTATTAAGGGGTAATGCCTTTAAATCAAAAATTAAATATATTTTTTAAGTTAATACACAGGGTGTTTTATCGGTCGACTGTATCAAGAAAATTTGATAATATATATATATTTTTAAATTAGAGTATTTTTCTCAATCTTTAAAACACCCTGTATAATAAAGGCCTCTAAACTGATTTTTCAACAAATTTACTGCATTCAGAGCCGCACACCCCTCAACACTTAAATATACCGTGTGACCCATTTGTTTGCGACACACTCCGGTAAAATCTTTATTTATTGTGCGATTTTAACCGGATTTGTTTTAAATTGTATTTTTGGAGAAATAAACAACATATTTTTACAAAATACAAGGCCTACTATGTCAGTTTTAAAAAAGTTTATTTTTAAGGATTTATAATACCTAGAGATTTTTTTTTAAATCTATGCACAGAACTGGATGCACCCCCCCTTGAAACGACCCTATACAAAATTTTATTGAAAATTTTTAAGTAGGGACGATTTTGTAGACAAATTAAAAATGAACAGTAATAACTATTTCAGTTGTTTTTTGTTTGGTTTTTCTTGGAAAATGTTGAATGCAAAATAATTTAATAAAATCATGAAATTTTACAAAAAGAAAAATCAAATAAAAAACTTACTGAGTTTAAAAGATTAAATTTATAGGTTGAGTGATAACTTCTAGATTATTTCTTGAATTAAAGGAAACTATTTGACAATTAATAAAATCTGATGTATACATATGTTAAATTGTTTTTAAAAAATGTATGTTAAAACTTGTAAATAACACCATAAAATCGTAAAAAAATCCTATAAAAGGCTAAAATTTAATCGCTGTTAAATAGTTCTAGCGATTTAATCGCTTATCTAAACAAAATTTATTCAAAAATTCAAGGCTTTTGATTGGTTCATTTTATGAGAGAAATAATCTGTCACGTTATCCATGAAAAAACATTGAAATAAAATTAAACTAATATTAACAGTATAAATACTTTTTACAAATAAAAAACGCAATAAATACTTAAAACAAAAAAATAAAATCTCTATTGCACCCATTACTCCAGAACAAATATGAAAGTGTATTGAAATAAATGGTGGATTAGTAGAATTTTTTTGGAAATCTTTATTTTTTGTTTTATTGTTGTTTTAAGTTCCTATTGCGTTTTTTATTTGTCAAAACTAAGCATAGGAATATTTATACCGTGTAACTATTAGATTAATTTTATTTCAATGTTTTATTCATGGATAACAACTTGACTAAATTTTTGTAAATAGAAGTTAAAATTTTTAAATAAAAATGTCGAAACCCTACTTTAGACGATTTTAAGTACATTTTAAAATGTTAAAACAAAGCCAAAACACATTTTAGAAAGTGAAGGCTAATTTAAGAGGGTTAAAAAGTATTTTACAACAAACGAATTTTAGAATGGTAAAACCATAATATTGTCAAAAACATAATTTATGTCAAAAACTTATTTTAGAAGTTTTAAAATACATTTTAGAATGTTTAAAATTAATGACAAAAGAAAAATTTAAGAATGTCACAAACCAAATTTATTATTTAAGAATGGTAAAAAAAATAAGTCAAAACATATTAAAGAAGGTTAAGGAATATTTTAGTACAGCAATGACAAATTATAGAATGTTAAAACCATAAGACTGTCAAAAACATAACTTAGAATGTCAAAAATTTATTTTAGAAGATTTTAAATACATTTTAGAATGTTAAAAACAAATGTAAAAAGGATATTTTACACAAACCAAATTTAGTATTTAAGAATGTTTAAAAAAAAGTCAAAACATCAAAACAGAATATAAGGACAAATTATAAAACCATAAGATTGTCAAAAATATATTTAAACAAGTCATGACAAAAACATAATTTAAAATGTCGAAACCCTACTTTAAACGATTTCAAGTAAATTTTAGAATGTTAAAACACATTTAGGAATGTGAAGGCTGATTTAAGAGGGTTAAAGAGGATTTTAGAACAAAAACGAATTTTAGAATGGTAAAACAATAAGATTGTCAAAAACATAAGTTAGAATGTTATAAACTTATTTTGAAAGATTTTAAATACATTTTAGAATGTTTAAAACGAATGACAAAAGGATAATTTAAGAATGTCACAAACCAGGGAATTTAGTATTTAAGAATGTTTAAAAAAATAACTCAAAACATATTAAAGAAGGTTAAAGAGTACTTTAGTACTACAATAACAAATTATAGAATGTTAAAACCATAAGATTGTCAAAAACATATTTAAACATAACATGGCAAAACTATAATTTAAAATGTGGAAAACCTACTTTAGACATTTTAGAATGTTAAAACACATTTAGAAAAGTCAAAACATATTAAAGAAGGTTAAAGAGTACTTTAGTACAACAATAACAAATTATAGAATGTTAAAACCATAAGATTGTCAAAAACATATTTAAACATAACATGGCAAAACTATAATTTAAAATGTGGAAAACCTACTTTAGACATTTTAGAATGTTAAAACACATTTAGAAAAGTCAAAACATATTAAAGAAGGTTAAAGAGTACTTTAGTACAACAATAACAAATTATAGAATGTTAAAACCATAAGATTGTCAAAAACATATTTAAACATAACATGGCAAAACTATAATTTAAAATGTGGAAAACCTACTTTAGACATTTTAGAATGTTAAAACACATTTAGAAAAGTCAAAACATATTAAAGAAGGTTAAAGAGTACTTTAGTACAACAATAACAAATTATAGAATGTTAAAACCATAAGATTGTCAAAAACATATTTAAACATAACATGGCAAAACTATAATTTAAAATGTGGAAAACCTACTTTAGACATTTTAGAATGTTAACACATTTAGAAAAGTCAAAACACATTTAAGAATGTGAAGGCTGATTTAAGAGTATTTTAGAACAAAAACGAATTTTAGAATGGTAAAACCATAAGATTGTCAAGAACATAATTTGAAATGATAAAAACCTATTTTGGAAGATTATAAATACATTTTATAGAATGTAAAAAACGAATAACAAAAGGATAATTTAAGAATGTCACAAACCAAATTTAGAATGTTAAAACCATAAAATTGTCAAAAACATGTCATGGCAAAAACATTTAAGAATTTGAAGGCTAATTTAAGAGGGTTAAAGAGTATTTTAGAACAAAAACTAATTTTAGAATGGTAAAACCATAGGATTGTCAAAAACATAATTTAGAATGTCAAAAACTTATTTTAAAAGATTTTAAATACATTTCGGAATGTTAAAAACGAATGACAAAAGGATAATATAATAATGTCACAAACCAAACTTAGTATTTAAGATGTTTAAAAAATAAGTCAAAACATATTAAAGAGTACTTTACATTTAGTCCAACAAAAACAAATTTTAGAATGTTAAAACCATAAAATTGTCAAAAACATGTCATGGCAAAAACATTTAAGAATTTGAAGGCTAATTTAAGAGGGTTAAAGAGTATTTTAGAACACAATAACAAATTTTAGAATGTTTAAACCATTAGATTGTCAAAAACATATTTAAAGAAGTCATGACAAAACATAAATGGCAAAAACATAATTGAAAATGTCGAAAAACTACTTTAGACGATTTCAAGTACATTTTAGAATGTTAAAACACATTTAAGAATGTGAAGGCTGATTTAAGAGTATTTTAGAACAAAAACGAATTTTAAAATGGTAAAACCATAAAATTGTCAAAAACATGTCATGGCAAAAACATTTAAGAATTTGAAGGCTAATTTAAGAGGGTTAAAGAGTATTTTGGAACAAAAACCATAATATTGTCAAAAACATAATTTATAATGTCAAAATTTATTTTGGAAGATTCTCAAAAACTGACATTGTATTTTGTGAAAATATGGTGTTTTTTGGTCCGAAAAAACAATTTAAAACAAATCTGGTTAAAATCGCACGATACGTCTAGATTTTCCAAGGTTGAGTAGCAAACAAATGCGTCAAACTGCAGACAAATTATCGAGTAAAAATTTGCATCGTGCTTAAAAAAACGCGCGATAAAATTTCGAGCCTAAACGTCAACGAAGAACTTCGTTATCAGCGCGACCTTGTCGCAGGTGAAGTTCGCGAAGCGGGCGCAGTGCTTCGCGAAGATCTGCGCGGGAATCGATTCCATGGGCGACGCGATCTTGGCCACGACGGCCGATTGGTCCGCCCAACTTACCAGGAAGTTCGACCAATCCAGTTGCTGCTTTTCCGTCGCGGCCTCCGTGGATATGAGGTACTCGGTGCGCAGGAGCATCGTGACCAGGGAGGAGACGCCGAACTGAAAAAAAAAGTTATGGAAAATGTCGAAAAAGTAGCGCAACGTTATTCACCTTGTTTAGCAGCACGAAATATAGCGGGGGTTTCCCCTGGTGGCTTAAAGGCGTGCTTCTACTGTTTTCTTGTCTAATCACTTCAACTAGACCGGTCACTATTTCTAGGATGTCGGACATTTGTGAGTTTCTTATATATCTATAAATAAAAATATTATATTTTTTTTTATTTAAATTTTTTTATGAAATGTCAAAATATTTCAAAAGGTTGTTTCAATAATAATTTTAGAATGTTAAAAACATATTAAGGAATGCCAAGGATACATAATTAAGAATGACAAGGATGAATAAATTAAGATTGTCTAGACAAATATTTACTTTAAACCAATTTTGGATAAAAATAAGTATTTGTCGTAGAAAAAGTATAGTTTATAAACTTTTCTAGACACTCATTTATCAAACTTGATACATAATATACTAGAGGGTTAAAGAGCACAACAATAACAAATTTTAGAATGGGGTCATTCCACGTTACTCGGGGATTTTTGTCCCGCCCGTCACAATTAAAAATTGTGAGTAAAATTTATTTTAAAATATTGTTTATTATGCTTTTAATAAGTTATAAGCACAATAAAAATAATATTATAAAATATAAATTTAATAACTTGTGGGTTTTACTCACAATTTTTAATTGTGACGGGCGGGACAAAAATTACCGAGTAACGTGGAATCCCCCAATGATAGAATCATAGGATTGTCAAAAACATAATTTAGAATGTAAAAAACTTATTATGGAAGTATTTTAGTACAACAATAAGAAATTATAGAATGTGAAACCATAAGATTGTCAAAAACATGTTTAAACAAGTCATGACAAAACATAAATGGCAAAAACATAATTTAGAATGTCAAAAACCTACTTGAGAGGAATTTAAGTACATTTTGATGTTAGATTAAAGAGTATTTTAGACCAAACCCAAATTTTAATTTTTTAGAATGTCAAAAACTTATTTGTCAAAAATATATTTAAACTTGTCATGACAAAACATAAATAGCAAAAAAAAGTAGAATATCGAAAACCTACTTTAGACGATTTCAAGTACATTTTAGAATGTTAAGGCTGATTTAAGAGGGTTAGAGTATTTTAGAACAAAAACGAACTGTAGAGTGTTAAAAAAATAAGATTGTCAAAAATATAATTTAATTTAATATAATTTTTGTCAAAAACTTATTTTGGAAGATTTTAAATACATTTTAGAATGATAAAAACGAATGACAAAAGGATAATTACAAAATGTCACAAACCAAATTTACTATTTAAGAATGTTTAAAAAAAGAGGTCAAAACATATTAAAAAATGTTCTAACCTACTCTAGTATTTTAGTACAACAATAACAAATTTTAGAATGTTAAAACCATAAGATTGTCAAAAACATCTTTAAACATATGTTATGACAAAATATAAATGGGAAAAACAATTTAAAATGTCGAAAACCTATTTTAGACGTATTTAAGAATGTTAAAACACATTTAGAAAAGTCAAAACACATTTAAGGCTGATTTAAGAAGGTTAAAGAAAATTTTAAAATAAAAAGTAATTTTAGAATTTTAAAACAATAATCTTATCAAAAACAAAATTTAGAATGACAAAAACTTATTTTGTATAATACTCGTTAACCTTCTTGTTTTTTAAAAATTCTTAAATACTAAATTTGTTTTGTGACATTCTTAAATTATCCTTTTGTCATTTGTTTTTACATTCTAAAATGTACTTAAAATCTTCCAAAATAAGTTTTTGTCATTCTAAATTTTGTATTTGATAAGATTATTGTTTTAAAATTCTAAAATTACTTTTTATTTTAAAATTTGTAAAAATAATTTTAGTACGACAATAACAAATTTTAGAATATTAAAACCATAAGATTGTCAAAAACATATTTAAGCATGTCATGGCAAAACAAATGGCAAAAACATAATATAGAATGTCGAAAACCTACTTTAGAGGATTTCAAGTACATTTTAGAAGGATAAAACACATTTAGGAAAGTCAAAACACATTTTAGAATGTGAAGGATGATTTAAGAGATTTAAAAAGTGTTTTGGAATAAAAACGAATTTTAGAACGTTAAAACAATCAAGATTGTCAAAAACATAATTTGAAATGTAAAAACTTATTTTGAAAGATTTTAAATACATTTTAGAATGTAAAAAACGAATGTCAAAAGAATAATTTAAGAATGTCACAAACCAAATTTAATATTTTAAGAATGTTAAAAAAATAAGTCAAAACATATTAAAGAAAGTTAACGAGTACTTTAGTAACATATGTTAAAACCATAAGATTGTCAAAAACATATTCAAACATCTCACTGCAAAAACATAATTTAAAATTTTGAAAACCTACTTTAAACGATTTTAAGTCCATTTTAACATGTTAAAACACATATGGGAAAGTCAGAACACATTTAAGAATGTGAAGGATGATTTAAGAGGGTTAAAAAGTATTTTGGAATAAAAACGAATTTTAGAATGTTAAAACAATCAAGATTGTCAAAAACATAATTTGAAATGTAAAAACTTATTTTGGAAGATTTTAAATACATTTCAGAATGTTAAAAAGTATGTTTAGAAAAGTCAAGACATTAAAGAATAACAAAAGGATAATGTAAGAATGTCACAAACCAAATTTAGCATTTAAGAATGTTTAAAAAATAAGTTAAAACTTATTAAAGGTTGAAGAGTACTTTTGTACAACAATAACAAATTTTAGAATATTAAAAACATCTTTAAACATATGTCATGACAATATATAAATGGCAAAAACATAATTTGAAATGTCGAAAACCTACTTTAGACGAATTCAAATACATTTTAGAAAGTTAAAACACATTTAGAAAAGTCAAAACATAATTAATAATGTGAAGGCTAACCAAAAACGAATTTAGAATGTTAATACAAGATTGTCAAAAACATAATTTGGAATGTTAAAAACGAATGACAAAAGGATAATTTAAGAATATCACAAACCAAATTAGGTATTTAAGATGTTTAAAAAATCCAAACATATTAAAGAATGTTAAAACCATAGGATTATGAAGAACATCTCTAAACATGTCATGGCAAAACATAAATGATAAAACATTTAAAATGTCAACAAACCTACTTTGGACGATTTTAGAATGTTAAAACCATAAGATTATCAAAAGCAAATTTAAGCATCTCATGACAAAACATAAATGACAAAAACATAATTTGGAATGTCAAAAACCTACTTTAGAGGATTTCAAATGCATTTTAGAATGTTAAAACACATTTAAGAATGTGAAGGCTGATTTAAGAGGGTTAAAGAGTATTTTAGAACAAAAACGAATTTTAGAATGTCAAAAAATTATTTTGGAAGATTTTAAATACAAACAAATGACAAAAGGATAATTTAAAATTGTCACAAACCAAATTTAGTATTTTAGAATGTTTAATAATAACAAATTTTAAAATGTTAAAACCATAAATGGCAAAAACATAATTTAAAATGTCAAAAACCTACTTTGGAGGATTTCAAGTAGATTTTAGAAGGTTAAAACACATTTGGAAAAATCAAAACACATTTAAGAATGTGAAGGCTGATTTAAGAGGGTTAAAGAGTATTTTAGAACAAAAACGTTTCTTAGAATGTTAAAGCAATAAAATTGTCAAAAACATAATTTAGAAAGTCAAAAACTTATTTTAGAAGGTGTTAAATACATTTTAGAATGTTAAAAATATATGTATGTTTGGGAAAGTTAAGACATTGGAAACTCTTATTGAAACACCAATTAATGAAAAATATTACCATAGACTACCAACGCAATAAAATGCAACAAAAAAATTAATAATAAAAAAAAACTTACTTTTTAAAATGGGGATGCAATTTCGGTAAAATATTGTCCCCTGCGGTATCCCTTCTGCCAGTAATAGGCAAACTACACAAAACTTTAGTCCAAATTTCCAATAGTTGTTGCGAAAAAAGGTCGGCTGTTAAATGTGGCAACGTTCTTAATAAAAGCATCTAAAAAACAAAAAAATAGTAAAATTTAATTTTATTTGTTTGTTGTAATTTTTTGTACCTTTCCCTTCCTGATATTAAGAAAGCTCGTCAACTTTTCCTCGTGCAAAAGACCATTCGCAATTTTAATAATATAATCGATTTGATTTTCCACAATGGGCTCGCTTTCTTTCTTGAATATCTGCAAAATTTCCTGCTTTTGTTCGGGAGTGGGGGCCAGTTCCAACTCTCGTAATCTCTGCTTTTGCCTACGGAAAAATGTTAAAAAATATACACCTTACACTTTTTATTCTTACCTTATCTCCCGTAACTTTTCCATGTTGCTTATGGCCAACGGATTGGTTAAATCTTCGGCTTTGAGCAACAGACTGTAGAGGGCCTCGAGTTCCAGCAGCAGTTGCTTCGTTTTTCTGGTATCTCTGGAAACTTGCGGACTGTCGCCATCTTTTTCCGGCGTTACTATATCCATGTCTATGATTTTTCTCGGGGCAGTGACAGAACCACACTGCAAGAGAAACGCCATAATATACCAAGATGAGATAAATGAATTATTAGCATCAGGATATGTAATTTTTTATTCATGACTTTAAGAATGTCAAAAACATATTTTAGAATGTTAAAGTTATAGGCAAAATGTCAAAATCAACACAATTTAGTGTGTCACAAAATTTAGAATTTTAAAGTCATAAGAAAGCCAAAATGTCAAACACAAATTTTAGAATGTTATAGTTATACAGGGTGTCCCACAATTAGTGCGACAAAATGAAGGTGTATTATCTACAGACCCCCAGGAATTCCAGAAAATTGTTTAAAAAATTCTTCCTTCATTATTTTAAAAGATACAGGGATTGTTGTTTGTTGTCATGATAATTAAAAATTATACTATTACTTTGTTATGAGGCAATGTTGCCATATAAAGAAAACATGACTCCCCTGTATCTTTTTAAATAATGAAGGGAAAATTTTTTAAACAATTTTCTGGAATTCCTGGGGGTCTGTAGATAATACACCTTCATTTTGTCGCACTAATTGTGGGACACCCTGTAGAAATGGAAAAAATGTCAAAACAGAGTTTAAATTACCAAGAATTATTTAAGAGGTTTAAAGTATATTTAAAATTATCAAAAACAAACTTTAGAATGTTGAAGCCTAAGAATTTATAAATTAAATCTTCTTAAATAAGTCTTGATAATCTAAACTACTGTACTAAATTGTGTTGATTTTGACATTCCTAATTAAGGTGATGTTCCTATTTTGGCTTTTTTATGAGTTTAACATTCTAAAATTTATTTTTTAACCTCCTTAATTGTAATTTGACTTACTAAATTTTATTGGTTTAAACATTTATATATATATATATATATATATATATAAATGGAGGAGGTTAAAAAAATAAATTTTAGAATGTTAAACTCATAAAAAAGACAAAATAGGAACATCACCTTAATTAAGAATGTCAAAATCAACACAATTTAGTACAGTAGTTTAGATTTATTTAAAATGTCAATACCATAAGAATGTAGAAATGTTTAAACCCACAAAATTTAGTTTGTCCAACTACATTTGTGAAGGTAAAAAACAAATTTTAGAATGTTCAAGTCATAAGAAAGCCAAAATAAAAACACCAACATAATTAAGAATGGCAAAATGTCAAAATCAACACAATTTAGCATGTCAAAACCAAAATTTAGAATGTCAAAACATTAACAGATTATTAAGACTTATTTAAGAAGGTTAGCGTATACTTAAGATTATCAAAAACAAACTTGAGTATGTTAAAACCATAACAGTTTAGAAATGTTTAAACCAGCAAAATTTATTTAGTCAAACTACATTTGAGAAGGTTAAAAAACAAATTTTAGAATGTTCAAGTCATAAGAAAGCAAAAATGGAAACATCAATTTAATTAAGAATGTCAAAACATAGTTTAGAGTATTAAGACTTATTTAAGAAGGTTAAAGTATATTTAAGATAATTAAAAAAAACTTTAGAATGTTTAAGCCATGAAAATGTAGAAATGTTTAAACGAACGAAATTTAGTACGTCAAACTAAAGATAAATTTTAGAATGTTAAAGTCATTAGAACGCCAAAATGGGAATATAAACATAATTTGGAATTACAAAATTATTTTTTAGAATGTTATATATATAACATATAAATGTCAAAACATGGTTTAAATTATGAAGACTTATTTGAGAAGGTTAAAGTATATTTAAAATTATTAAAAACAAACCTGCTGAAGCCATTAAAATGTAGAAATGTTTAAACGAACAAAATTTAGTATGTCAAACCACATAAAAAGATAAATTATAGAATGTTAAAGTCATAAGAATGCCAAATTTTGAATATAAACATAACTTGGAATGTCAAATTTTTTTTTAGAATGTTATAGTTAAAATAATGGCAAAATGTCAAAATAAACACAATTTAGTACATCAAAAACAAAATTTAAAATGTCAAAACTTAATTTAGATTATCAAGACTTATTTAAGAAGATTAAAGTATATTTAAGATTATTAAAAACAAAATTTAAAATGTCAAAACCATAAGAATGTAAAAATGTTTAAACCAACAAAATTTACTACCTCAAACTACATTTAAGAAGGTAAAAAAACAAATTTTAGAATGTTATAGTTATAAGAATGGCAAAATGTCAAAATCTACACAATTTAGTATGACAAAACCAAAATTTAGAATCTCAAAACATAGTTTAGATTATCAAGACTTATTTAAGAAGGTTAAAGTATATTTAAAATTATCAAAAACAAGCTTTAGACTGTTAAATCCTAAGAATGTAGAAATGGAAACATAATTAAAAATGTAAGAAACAAATTTTAGGATGTTATGTTTATAGGAATGGCAAAATGTCAAAATCAACAAAATTTAGTATGTCAAAAATAAAATTTAAAATGTCAAAACATTGTTTATATTAACAAGACTCATTTAAAGTATATTTAAGATTATCAAAAACAAACTTTAGAATGTTGAAACCATAAGAATGTAGAAATGTTTAAACCATCAAAATTTAGTATGTTAAAACAAATTTTAGAATGTTTAAGTCATAAGAATGCCAAAATGGGAATATCAACATAATTTGGAATGTTCAAAACAAATTTTAGATTGTTAAAGTTAAAAGAATGGCAAAATATTAATATAAACACAATTTAGTATGTCAAAAACAAAATTTAAAATGTCAAAACCATAAGAATTTAGAAATGTTTAAACCAACAAAATTTAGTACTACATTTAAGAAGGTAAAACAACAAATTAGAATGTAGTAACAAAAATTCCAAAATGGGAATATCAACATAATTCTACATAAGTAGTATCATGGTCAAAACAGAGTTTAGATTAACAAAACCTATTTAAGAAGGTTAAAGTATATTTTAGGTTAGTTAACAAAAACAAACTTTAGAATGTTGAAACCATAATAATGTAGAAATTTAGTACGTCAAACTACATTTAAGAAGGTAAAAAACAAATTTTAGAATTTTAAAGTCTTAAGAATGCCAAAATGGGAATATCAACATAATTTAGAATGTTAAATGCCTATATCAACACAATTTAGTATGTCAAAAACAAAATTTAAAATGTCAAAACCATGATACTACATACTCATGGTCAAAACAGAGTTTAGATTAACAAAACCTATTTAAGAAGGTTAAAGTATATTTTAGGTTCACAGAAACTAGAATGTTGAAACCATAAGAATGTAGAAATATTTAAACCAACCAAATTTAGTACTAAATTTAAGAAGGTAAAAAAACAAATTTTAGAATTTAGTAACAAAAATTTCAAAATGGGAATATCAACATAATTTAGAATGTCAAAAACAAATTTTAGAAGAATGGCAAAATGTCAAAATCAGCACAATTTAGTATGTCAAAAACAAAATTTGAAATGTCAAAACCATGATACTACATAAGTAGTATCCTGGTCAAAACAGAGTTTAGATTAACAAAACCTATTTAAGAAGGTTAAAGTATATTTAAGGTTAGTTAACAAAAACAAACTTTAGAATGTTGAAACCTTAATAATGTAGAAATGTTTAAACCAACAAAATTTATTAATGTAGTAATGTCAAAGTACATTTAAGAAGGTAAAAAAAATAATTTTAGAATGTCCTATTTATAAAAATGACAAAATGACAAAATGTCAAAATCAACACAATTTAGTTTGTAAAAACAAAATTTAAAATGTCAAAACATAGTTTAGAGATTTATTTAAGAAGATTAAAATATATTTAGTATTATCAAAAACAAATTTTAGAATGTTTAAATCATAACAATGTAAAAATGTTTAAACCAACAAAATTTTAGAAAGCCAAAAATGGAAACATCAACATAATTAAAAATGTAAAAAACAAATTTTAGAATGTTATGGTTATAGGAATGGCAAAATGTCAAAATCAACAAAATTTAGTATGCCAAAAACAAAATTTAAAATGTCAAATTCTTGTTTATATTAACTCATTTAAGAAGGTTAAAGTATATTTAAGATTGTCACTAAGATTATTATTGAAACCATAAGAATGTAAAAATTTAGTACGTCAAACTACATTCAAGAAGGTAAATAAACAAATTATAGAATGTTAAAGTCATAAGAAAACCAAAATGGAAACATTAACATAATTAAGAATGCCAAAACCAAGTTTTATAGTTATAAGAATGGCAAAATGTAAAAATCAACACGATTTCGTCAAAACCAAAATGTAGAATGTCAAAATATAGTTTAGATTATTAAGACTTATTTAAGAAGGTTAAAGTATATTTAAGATTATCTAAAACAAGCGTTAGAATGTTAAAACCGGTGGAATGTCGAATTGTTTTAACCATCAAAATTAAGTAATGTCAAACTACATTTAAAAAGGTTAAAAAACAAATTTTGGAATGTTTAATCAATCATTTTAAAAATATTACCTGTAATTTTCCCAGGGAGTTTTCGAACTGCAAAGGCGTGTACACACGCGGCGTCAACGTCTGATTTTCCTGCCTGTCATTTTGGCGCTGTTGCCTGTTGTAACGGCCTCTTTCCATCGATTGCTGCGCCAATTGCTCCTGATTTTTGGCCTTGCGTTCTTTGAACACCGTGTAATAGTAGTCGTCAAAGTATGGAGTTCCTAACAATAATAAACACTCATCCACATGTTATATGCTCTAAGATACTTCACCTTTGAGCATATAATAGTTATTTATGTCATTAGGTTAAGAAGTAAGGCTTCTTGTGCTAAGCTCAAGGTTTGAAGGCCGACGTGTAGCGGAGGCCTACAATTGAGCGAAGCACAAAAAGGCACTTCTTGGCCGAATGGCATACAACATTTTATCTTCAAAGCACTTTATATAGGTCAATTTAATTCAACATCAAAACGGCCTAACCTCACTTTTTTAGAATCTCATTTATTTATTAGCTAAAGATTACATTAAATGTACAATAATTATTATTGCTTTTAGAAGCAGTAATAGTTTGACAATACCTAGCTACATGATTTAAGTAGAAATGGATTTTTGCTATTACATTGAATTCAATTAATTGTTTAATAGATAGGTAGGTATCTAATTTCAATTTGTTTGGATTTTTATTTAAAAAATAGGTATTTGGAATGTTTAAGCTGTGTTTAACATTTAATTTCACTGAAACTTGAAGCAAATTCGAACTTAAAGATAATTTAAATCGTAGAAAAAGAATCGTGCGTTTTCTTGGTTGCCTAACCTCACTTTTGTTTTATTATTCATATTTAATATTACAATAATTTAATGAAAAATATTAAACATTAACCGTAAAACAAACAAATTAGTGCTTATTATAAATAAATTAAACCAGTTTAGTACGTTAATTTCTTAGAAAAGGATTAATTTGTGAAAACAATACCCCTAGCGAGAAAAAATCGAACTTATTACTTGCCTCATAAAAATTTTTATCGAATGTTGACAACAATAAAGTTTAAATTAAAGACCGCGTGGAGATAAACCGTATTTATTTCTTACCGGTATTCAGCTGCAAGATTTGTATGTTAAGCAGCCACTGTTTCTCCCTGTTGGTCATCAGACCCGCGTATTCGTCTTTTACGGGGGAATCGGTTCTATGCCTGTTGTTATTGTTGTTGTTGTTGTTGTAATTTCCACTGTCGTGGCGCTGCCTGTGTTGCAGGTGATGCTGTTGCTGCTGCTGCTGCTGCATCTGCATCTCGCGGTGCAGCTGTTGCTGATGTTGCTGCTGAAGCTGGTGCAGGGGGTGGTTGGGCGGTAAGAAGGGCGGTTGTTGCTGTTGTTGGTTGGGGTGCGGCGGAGGGGGGCGGGCGCCCGGCGGGGGAAAGTTGAACGGATGGTTTACCTTTAATTTTAAAGTAAAATATAATGTTTGTTAACAAATGTAATTATTAGATATTACAAATACAATTAAAACTAACAAACATTTAGAAAAAGGTATTTCCATTGTAACGGGTGCGACACTAAAACTGCGTTTTTTCATGATAATAAAGTTTTTGTTAATATACCGTACCTTCATTTGCGAGCTAACCATAGGGAAAATACATTGTAACTGGACCAGATAAGTCTTAGTCAGCACGAAGCGAAAAACGTTGTAGAAATGATTTGGACGCGTGGACGAGTGGGCTAGCATGCGCCGTAACAGTTGACCTTGCTTCATACATCGATGCTTTATTATTGTTTTTTATTTTGTGCTGTGTAAATCTGGTAAAATTTGTTTTAGTACGCATGTCTCGACGACGCATCCAAATCATTTCTGAAAAGGTTCTCGCTTTGTGTTGACTGCGACTTATCTGGTCCAGTTACAACGTATTTTCCCTATGGTTAGCTTGCAAATGAAGGTACGGTATATTAAGATACGTTAATATAAAAAATAGTATAAAAAATTAGTTATTTAACTCAAGCAAAATGTCAATAAAAACATTTATACAAAACCTTTTATAACGTCATGAATAGCGTAACGGGCGCGACTTTGATACTGTAAAATGTTGGATGAAAGCATATAGTAATAATTTTTTGTGTAAAACTTAATTAGTAACCTTAAACAAGGACGTATTTTAAATGCACAAAAATTGCATACTTTATTTTCTAAAATTTTCACAAAATGTAACGGGTGCGACATTTGAACAGTTTATCGAGTATTGAAACTCTCCGTATTTATTCTTAATGTTAGCTTCTTAGCATCATTATGTACGAATATTTTAAGGTTATAAATTAAACTATTTGACTTCAGATATAGGTAGTTGTTATTTGTCAAGGGGTAAGGTTTCGTGGAAATACCCAAAACCAAAAACAAGTTGTGGAATTTTAAAAAACAAGCTTGGAAAAAACACAATTTAAAATGACAAAACCATTCTGTAAAAAACATTTATGAACAAATTTTAGAAAACCCAAACTAAAAATGTCTAAGAATGTAAAAAACATATTTTAGAATGATAAAAATTTAACCTTATTTTAAATTTCAAGATTTATTTCAAAATAATTGAGAATAACATAAAACATATTTTATAATTAAAAAAAAACATTTTAGAAAGTTATAAAATGTCTTTAGGAATGTTAAAAACAAATGGAAAATCAAGGATAAAACCTACTTTAGAACATCAAAAATAAAAACTTTTTAGATTGTTAAAAACATATTTTGGAATGTTTAAAATATCTTATTTTGAAACTTAAAAAATTTTGGATTAGAAAAAACACAATTAAGAATTAGGAATATTTAAAAAGGTTAAAGTTTATTTTAGAACATATTTTTTTTAACACAATTTAGAATGAAAAAACCATACTGTAAAAACTTTTATGAACAAATTTTAGAAAACCCAAATTAAAAATGTCTAAGAATGTAAAAAACATATTTTAGAATGATAAAAATGTGACCTTATTTTAAATTGTAAAAGTCAAGATTTATTTGAAAATAATTGAGAATGACATAAAACACAATTAAGTAGGTTTGTCAAAACACATTTTAAAACGATAAAAACACATTTTATAATAAAAAAAACATTTTAGAAAGTTATAAAATGTCTTTAGGAATGTTAAAAACAAATGGAAAATGAAGGATAAAACCTACTCTTTAGAACATCAAAAATAATTTTTTTTTAGATTGTTAAAAACATATTTTGGAATTTTAAAAACAACTTATTTTGCAAAAGAAAAAACACAATTAAGAATTAGGAATATTTAAAAAGCTAATATTAGAATATATAATTTCTTTTTAACACAATTTAGGATGTCAAAATAATATAAAAATAACAAAAACTTAAAAAACACAATTTAGAATGAAAAAACCATACTGCGAAAACATTTATAAACAAATTTTAGAAAACCTAAACTAAAATGTCGAAATTTAATAAAGAATGTAAAAAACATATTTTAGAATAATAAACATTTAACCTTATTTTAAATCGTAAATATCAAGATTTATTTGAAAACAATTGAATGACATAAAACACAATAGGTATGTCAAAACACATTTTAGAATTAAAAAAAAACACATTTACAAAATGTCTTTAGGAATGTTAAAAACAAATGAAAAATCAAACATCAAAAATAAAACTTTTGAAATAGAACAAACACAATAAAGAATTAGAAGTTTTTTTAGGAATATTTAGAAAGGTTATTGTAGGATATATAATTTTTTTTAAACACAATTTGGGATGTCAAAACAATGTAAAAATATCAAAAACTTACAAAAATATAATTAAGAAACACAAGACCATAATCAAGAATGTCATTTTAAAATGTTAAAAACACAAGAATGTTATATATGTTTAGGCAAAACACAGTATATAAAGTTTGAAAATTACGGGTTTACGAATAGCAAAATTAATATTAATAGTAATTGTACCTCAATTAAATTTTTAGGCGTTACTTTGGAAAATAAATTATTATAAATTTATTTATTAAGATTTATTGTTGTGTAAAAATTATAAGATGTATCTTTAATTTGGAATTTAATGAGTCCTGTAAGCAAACATTTAAAAAACAAAACTTACTTACTACGCTACCGTATATTTATATATATGAAACTTTAATTTTTTACAAAAAAAAACTTTTTTCTTTTTAATAACACTAGTAGAGAACATTAATATTTTACTAGAAAAAAATATTTGGCACTTATTACTCAAACCAGGATCCACACTGTTTACAAGAGTATACAAAACTTTGCTCTGGTTCTATATAATAAATTATCAAAAACAATTATTGTTTTATTATTATAATAGACAGAAATTTAAAGGAATTTAAACCTTCTTTAAAAGCATACCTTGTAAACAAATGTGATTACTGTGTTAATGATTTTTTTTAAGTTTGTTAAGAATTTTTTGTATTTGTTTATATTTAGTTTTTTATAATATTTATGTATTGTTTTTTGACGTGTTCAACATTGTAAACACTGCAATACTTTGAACTAATAAAATCTATTTTATTCTATACTTTTATATGACAAATACTTAATATTATTTAAAAAATTATTTAAATTAAATATTGGTATAAAGCGACATCTATACGAAAATAAAGTAACCATCCCAATAAACATTTTTGACGTAATTTTCACCATTAACATTGCCCTTTATTATTTTAATTAAACTTAACAATCATTAATACTTTAAAATAATTTGAAATGTAAACACCATAAAAATTTAAAACTACACTCACGTGCAAAATAATCGATCCTCACAAATTTTCAATGAATTTCAATCGCAAATAACTTTTTTATTTGATGTCGGATTTAATCGAATATTAAAGAATATTGTAGATAAATTAATGGACAATCGCTTACATTTTATAAAAATACTAAAAAATAGACCTACGTTTATAATATACAGGTTTAAACAAAAATATGTTTTTTACCATAAGTTTAAGACACTCTGTAGAGTGGCAAAACCGTATATTGTTCTAAATTAAGTTTTATTTATCAAGTCACATCTATTCTTAACAGTTTTGTTTTTGGTTCACCTCGATATATTTATTTTTGTGGAAAATATGGATTTTTTTAAAAAACATTGCAATTTCCAATATTTTTCTGTATGAAGAACTAAGGTTGCTATGGTCCATCCATAGGCTATGGAGAATGACAGTGACAGTTTTGTTGAATCATCCCATTCTTGAACATGTCATATACAGCTTTCAAAAGCTATCAAATTGTTTTTTGTAAATTAATGTGTTAATTTTGAGGTGTCTTCTTACTTTTAAAAATGTCTCCGACTGATGTTGCCCTTTGTACTTTACTTCTTATGACGTTTAAAACACTTGCCACGTAATACTGTGACCGTCCATCCTGGATTAAATTAATTGCTCTGGCAACATCAGTCGGAGACATATCCATTTTTTAAAGTAAGAAGACACCTTAAAATTTAAACATTAATTTGCAAAAAACAATTTGATAGCTTTTGAAAGCCGTGTATGACATGTCCAAGTATGGGATGATTCAACAAAACTGTCACTGTCATTCTCCATAGCCTATGGATGGACCATAGCAACCTTAGTTCTTCATACAGGAAAAATATTGGAAATTGCAATGTTTTTTTAAAAAATCCATATTTTCCACAAAAATAAATATATCGAGGTGAACCAAAAACAAAACTGTTAAGAATAGATGTGACTTAATACATAAAACTAAATTTAGAACAATATACGGTTTTGCCACTCTACAGAGTGTCTTAAACTTATGGTAAAAAAAATCTTTTTGTTTAAACCTGTATATTATAAAAGTACGTCTATTTTTTAGTATTTTTTTAAATGTGAGCGATTGTCCATTAATTTATCTGCAATATTCTTTAATATTCGTTTAAATACGACATCAAATAAAAAAGTTATTTGCGATTGAAATTCATCGAAAATTTGTGTGTATCGATTATTTTGCACGTGAGTGTATTAAAAATGTGGTTTACTTACAGGAAAAGTCCCCGGAGGCGGGTACACCAAACCAGGCGGCGGATGCCTGGGCATGATCTGGCCGTTGGGTCCCATGAAAGGTCCTGCTGGAGGCCCCCCCATCCTGCCCATCATCCCCGGAGGCACATTGTGCATCTGATGGTTCATGTGGGGGGGCATGGGGGGCTGCTGGGGGCCGCCCAACGGCGGTCGCATCCCCGGAGGGGGCATCGACATCGGCGGCAGCCCCGGTGGGGGGCGCTGCTGATTGGGCAGCGAAGACTGCTGAGGGGAGGAAAAAATATATAATAATAATAATATTTATTGCCTTAAAAATATTTACAAAAACAATTTAATCTAGTATAAACAAGTAAATAGCAATAAATATGCAAAAAAGCATTGAAATAAACAGTGTTTATTTGTTTGTGTAATAAAAATTTAATATATTGTTTAAAATAAAATTTTCAAATTCATTCATACACCAAGTTTTAAATCATTCGAGGCATTCTAACTTAACGGTCACTCTAGGATCTAATCTACATGAACAAAACACTAGGACCAGAACAAATATAATCAGTACATCTTGTAGATCGCGGTACGGTGTTAACTCAATCTTTTTTAAAGGAGTAAACAACTATAACTCACTTCCTAATAACCTCAAGGAAAAAAAGGGCTTTACACATTCACAGAAAGACTTTTTGGGCTATATATAGAGTATATATTTTCTTAAGCTAATCGCTATTTAACATCATTATGTATGTCAAATAATTAGATTTTAAGTAATAGACTAAACAGTTTTTATTTAACATCATTAATTCTCTCTGTGATATGTATGTCAAATAATTAGATTTTAAGTAATAGACCAAACAGTTTTTACTGTGTTAATTATCTGTGATATATGTTAATAATTGGATTTTAAGCTAACATTTTTTTTCTCATGTTAATAATCAAAGTTGATTAGTTCTATAAAAAACTGGGGATGAACCTCCTTAGATTTTTTTGTAATGTCTCATTAGTCCAATAAATCTATTCATTCATTCATTAAAATATAGAAAAAAATATTATAAAAATATCATTCAACATCACAATTAATATAACAATAAACAAAACGGTTACATTTTTAGAATTAGGTACAGGGTGATCCCCTATAATGTCGCCCCCCTTTAACTTTTTTATTTTAAGGGTCCCAAAAAATTTAAAAGTGTGGTTATGTAGGCACTAAAAAATACTTTTTTTCTACCTATAAAGAAAATTGGAAAATTGTTCAGTATACAGGAAAAAACAAATTCAATTCAATTGATCACCCTATATTAAATATAAATAAAATTTGTATTTACTTTTCGATTCCTTGTAAAATTCTAAGCATATTTCATTTAACATACCATATACCTAAATTCAACCGTTTTTGAAATATTTAAATTATTTTTAAGATAATAAGTTGAAATAGTTTGGCTTTCTCTGTCTAAGTACGCCATGTTTACTTAGTTAACAAGACATATTGATATTATGTCACTATAGTCATTTATTTTCAATAACAATTTTGGTATACTGAGGCTTCTTGATTTCTAACAGTTTAAAAAAACGTTTAATGATAACATTTCGAATGCGAATATTTCAGAAACGGTTGAATTTAGGTTCATATATTGTTTGTTATATGAATTATGCTCAGAATTTTACAAGGAATCGAAAAATAAATTCATATATAGGGTGATCCATTGAAAAAAAAATAAACTTTTTATTTTTCCCTGTATATTGATCAATTTCCAATTTTTTTATACGTAGAAAAAAGTATTTTTTAGTACCTACATAACCACACTTAAAATAAAAAAGTTATAGGGGATCACCCTGTACATATAACATTATTTTTTTATTATTTAGCAGATATATAACAAATATACAAGAGATTGTTATTAGTTTTATCGGACATAGAACACTATATAATTAAATGTGTTTTTTTTTAGATTAATTTCTTTATTTATATTGTCTCTTGACAAATATTTTACATAATATGTATAATATTATATGTACATATGTCTTAGATATCTTTTTAAATTTGTGGTTGGGCGTGTTTTTAATATCTAATGGGAAGGTGTTGCATATTTTTTGGGCCAAGGTATGTGTAGCATCTTTGCCCAATAGTTTTATATACTTTGGGTACAAATAAGTATACAAATTTGCAGAACTCATTTTTTTTTAGTAAAAAATTGATGTTAAGGATTAAAAACAATTAAATAGCAGTATTTTATTTAGAGGTATTTTCCTTTTGTATACACAGAGTATCTGGGACATATATATATGTAGATTAATATTTTTGTTTGTTTTGTAGCTTGTATTTGTTCCATTAACTTCAATGATATAAGAGAGAAAATTGGATTGAAAAAACATACAAGCTACATTCCCATAAAAAATGTATTTAAAAGTGGATACTGTTCCAACATTACACTTAACAGCTGATCTGTCAAAATAGAAATTAAGGACTTTGTATGAAATTAAAATAAAATTGGGAAAACAATATAAATCAGTTTCTTTTTACAGTGTACAAGTAGAACAAAACCAGGAAGCATAATATGATCTTGGAAGACATCCATTAACAGAAACTCAAACTCTAAGAAATCAAGTACTGCAGTGTAAGAAATTAAAATAAAATTTGAAAAACAAAATTATTTTTTTCTTTTTGCATTGTGCAAGAAATGTGCCAAGACAAGGAATCTAATGATTCATGACATTCCATAACAGAAACTCAAACTGCAGCATGCTGCTGATAATGAAATGGCCCAGGATTAAAACATCCCAAAACCATTAGAAAACCAGCTTATACCATAATGTAATATTTTTCACGTTTAGTTTGTTTTATTTAATGTTGGTTCCATGGTGGCCAATTTAGAGATTTTATTTGGCAACTAAACCTAAATTATTTGTAATTTAGAAAAAAATATGTTGTTCACATTTTTCTTGCAACGTGAATGTTGTAACTTAATACTTTTAATTTCATTATTTTTATTTGTTTTGAAACAGGAGATTTAATTTTATTGGAAACATTTGACTTATAAGTGGGTTTGAAAAACATTTAACCTAAAAACTAAAATAAAATTTTTCCTAGCACTTTTTCCTATAATTTATTTGGTATTTTGTAAATATTATTTACTTTAAAACAATATATTTTATTTTATTGAAAACCCATAAAAAATAAAAAAAATTCATTAATAATACACTCACAGGCAAAATAATCGATCCACACAAATTTTCGATGAATTTCAATCGCAAATAACTTTTTTATTTGATTAGATATACTGTGACCGTCTATCCTGGAATAAATTAATGGCTCTGGCAACATCGGTCGGAGAGATCCATTTTTTAAAGAAAGAAGACACCTCAAAATTTAAACATTTGCAAAAAACAATTTGATAGCTTTTAAAAGCAGTGTATGACTTGTCCAAATATGGGATAATTCAACAAAACTGTCACTGTCATTCTCCATAGCCTAAGGATGGACCATAGCAACCTTAGTTCTTCATACAGAAAAATATTGGAAATTGCAATGTTTTTTTAAAAATTCCATATTTTCCACAAAAATAAATATATCAAGGTGAACCAAAAACAAAACTGTTAAGAATAGATGTGAATTGATAAATAAAACTTAATTTAGAACAATATACGGTTTTGTCACTCTACAGAGTGTCTTATACTTATGGTAAAAAACATCTTTTTGTTTAAACCCGTATATTATAAACGTACGTCAATTTTTTAGTAATTTTTTAAAATGTGAGCGATTGTCGATTAATTTATCTACAATATTCATTAATATTCGTTTAAATCCGACATCAAATAAAAAAGTTATTTGCGATTGAAATTCATCGAAAATTTCTGTGGATCGAATATTTTTCCTGTGAGTGTATTTTCTTAAAATGTTAATATTGTGACTTTAAGTTACCGAAAAAAAATTTAACCCAATAAATTTTAACTTTACCGGATTTATATTTTTTTATTATTTTTAATAATAATTAATTTATTAATTACAACTAATAATAAATATACAAAATCAATAGAATTTAAATTTCTAGAATATTTTTTTTGTAACTCACCATGTTGGGGTAAAACTGGCCAGGAATGAGCCCCCCGGGAGCATTTCGAAGCTGTTGCTGCTGCTGAAGCTGAGCGACATTTTTAAGGGCGTTAGTTTTAATCAAATTCTTTTCCAACTCCTCTACAGTGCAAATCTTATTGCTACTACTATTGTTTAGCAAGGGCTCTCTATGATAGTCAATCTGAAAAAAAAAGAAAATATATTTTGTATTATTTTTAATTAATATTTTTTAATAAACAAACACTTACAAAGGACTTGGATGCTTTATTAAGTGAAGACAAAATGGAATTTGAATTGTTATAACTGCCATCGCCATTTTTATTTGGTGGTGTATAGGCCCAAACAGAATTTTTGTTTAAGCTATAGTTATCTGAAAGGTCGTCGTCTAGGACTAGCTGGGAAATGGAATTTTCTGAAAATACAAGTAATATAAAAAATATCAATATAATATATTATTAAAAACATAATTGATTACAAAAAATGCCCTCAAAATTGTTTTTTTCTTTAAAATAAATCGTTATCCTGTTTCCTATTAATCAGGCAAATTTTTTTTTAAAAAATGCTTAAAATTTTTAACATAAAAAACATTTTTTTTATCTGGACTGCGGCAACGTTGCAAATTTAGGGTTTTGGTTGGTAAATACAGTTGTCAAGTTGGTCGCATTGATTAAAACAAACTAAGCTAGTTATAAATCTAATTGTGGTTATGTATAAATTATTGTAGGTTACATTGTGCAGTTGTCAAGTTGAGTTGTCGAAATTCGTAGTTAAAACTGCATTTAATTTGGCTTTGGTGGTGCTTGGATGAGTAAAATCATATAAAAAAAGTAGTTAAATATAGGTTGCTTTACGGCCCAGAAGAATTTATATAAAAGAAATTAAAATTTTTTTTAAAACGTAAATGTTGTCCAATGGTGAATAATGTGAAAATAATGTGTGATGTAATATTTATAAAACCAAATTCGTTACTTTTTACTCCAAAAATGTATATAAGGCGATGTAGTTTTTCTTCCATTGTGGCATTTGGCATAATTTTATCAAAATAAAGTTTTGCCCTCAAAAGGGCTTTTACATTGAATTCGTTGCTATTATTTTTGGCATAATAATCTTTATATTTATAATTGACAAGTAAATTATCAATCAAGTATTTAATTAAATTCTTAAGCAGAAGTACCATTTTAAAATACCAAGTCAAACTGGCATAAGCCACCAACCTAACAAAAAAACACGAGTCCAGATTAAAAAAAAATAACTATTTGTTTGTAGGACAAAAATTATTTTTACCCTCCAAAGTTGATTGAAATTTAAAATCCTACATAAAAAAGATGTAGATCTAAAAAATATCTATATAAAAAAAATATCATTTTGAAAAAGTTGTAAATCTTAAAAATATTAAACAAGGTAAAGCATTCATCTTTTGTTTTTAAGGGGGAAAATAGCCATTGGCAATTTTGGAATTTCAAATTTCGCGCTTTAAAACAAATGCCAAGCAGTAGGATCTGCGCAGGCCACTAAAATTTTAAATTCAGGACCAATCAAAATAACAATCATACCTTCAAATACACCAAACATTTAGTATTTTTTTAGATGAAATTATCATAAAGATAAATTATCGATCATTTTATTTGCTTCATTTTTATAATAGTTGTGAGACATAACCTAACTTTACTACAATTTCGCGCCAAAACAGTTGACATTTCGCACGATTTGCGCAGATGACTGGATTTTTTCTAGAACTAATTAGACTAAAATATTTATTATAATAAATCAGTTTTTAGACGATTTTAGTGTTCAAATAGGAGGAAAAAGGTGAATTTGATATATAAGTAAAAAATAGAAGATTTATAGGGTTTTATGGACATTTTCTTGTAAACCAAATATACCTAATTTAAAACATTATAAATTTGATTTAATTTACAGTAAAAATCCTAAAAATAGTCATTTTAAAAAAGTCTGGATATAAAGTTAAATATAATGTTTTATAAAAAATTAAAATGGCGAGTATTTTAACACTTACACATTATTTGGGTACTTGGCATAATTTTTGAAGAACTTTTTTATCCCAAAGTTTTAAAAGTATAAACCACAACTTTAACAATACATTCTTATTTTACACAGCCTGTAACCCTACCACAATGACCTCAAAACAACCACTCCGAAGAAGTACAAGAATAATAAAGAAACCTGACAAACTCCAAATGCCAAAAAAAACGGAATCAGCCCACAACTCTTATGGTATACATGCAAAGACAAAGATTGACATGTGTGACTGCATCAACGAAGAATGTGCAGGATGTTTTTTTAAGTGTCAAAAATGTAATTCAACAAAATGCGGCATAACTTGCCGAAACAATAGAATGTATACCATTGAGTTTATCCAGGATCAGGATGAAAAAAAGAATAATCCTTTGTATGCAATTAAATAAATAAATAGATATAGTTATATTTATATTTTAATAAAAAAAAAATAGTTAAAAAATTGTTACTGTACCTATTTGTTCATTTTGTTTGGTGATTTCCGTTAGTTCAGCATATTGTTCGTGCTGCTGTTCCCAATCTTCTTCCAATCCTGCCCCAAAAGTCTCGTCATTAAGAGCATCATATTCATCTTCATTCTCTAAAAGCTCATCATCATCAGGTGGTAACAAATGTTCACCATTCTAGAAATTTAAAAAACGTTTTATTTTACTTTTTATTGTCAAAAATATCTTTCTACAATGTGTTTTTTCTATAGCAAAATTTAAGTAGCTATTCTATATTTATATCCTTTAAACCTAAACTTATGGGATTTTTAACAATTTCAGTATTTTCTTGAAAATTTCTTACTATTTTGTTACAGAATAGACATACTTGAAACATATTAAAAACTTTTTAGCACTAAAAAACACAAAATACGCACTAATTTCTCTCAAATTATATCGACAAAACTACATAACCTCACTTTATTAAAAACCCGTTTTAATCGCAAATTTGACACAATTTCCACCAAAAACCCATAACAGCCCCTAAAGCATTAAGAAATTTAACCGAAAAATACAAAAATGACCCTCGATACCCCTAAAAACTCCCATAATACGCAAATTTCTCTTAACCCGTATCTAACTTGATCTAACCCCAAACCAAATTTTGATGAGTTGTACGTTTAAAAAACTTACTTTTAATGAAACATCAAAATCAAAAAACGAATCAGCCATTGGTATTTTGAAAAAAAATTAACATTATGATTTTACAGACTGGCATGAAGTTAAGACTTTTTACTTTCTTTAGTTTACAGGGCAGCCAACTGTGAAGAATGTTACCATACCAACTGTTAAAAAGTTACTAATTTTAAAATTTTGCGAAATTTTATTTTATCCATAGAAATAATTCTATGATTACTATTGAATTGTGTCAATATTTGTAATAGTCAATATATGTAATTTGTAATAGGTAATAATTTAGCTTTATTTGTTATAAATATCAAAATAAAGTGTGAAATAAAATCATTATGAATGAGTTAAAAATATATATTATTTAAATAAAATTAAAAGGAAATATAAAAAATTCTATAAAATAAACTTAACCAAACTTTTACTCAGCAACTTTTTCTTTATATGAAATAACTCCTTTTGCTATTAAATCTGGTATTTCAACTGCCAACCAAGGTCCCAACTGAAAAAAAATACATTGGTATCAAAATAAGAACACCATAAAAGTACTAAATGTTACCCCTAAAGCCATGGCGTGACCAATTCCAAACTTGGGCACATTTCTTGCCCATAAAGGCTTAAAATGATCACTGAGGCAAATTTTACCGCCTCTGTACATTTTAGCTGTTTTTCCGTCCAAACCAGGCAGTGCTATTTCAGGGGCTGTCATTGGGTATGTTACAGCAATATCGAACTCTACATCAAACTCATATTTGAGCAATTCATGGATGACCCAGCATTTACCGAACCATTTTGTGCCTTCTTTGTTCGATTCAAGCCTAAACCAATCATTATCAGCTGCTTTATTTGCAGAAACATACTGTAAGTAAAAACATATGTTATTTTTGGGTTAGGTAGTTGCCATCGTTATTAATTACCTTTATAAGGGTTTGGTATTCTTCCTTCAATCTTTCAACCCATAACTCCTTATCTCTGGGCCCTGCCTTTATTTTAAGTAACGGAATATTACTTAGAGTTTTTCTCGTTACCTCATCCACCATGTTTACGTCAAAAATTATTTTGTAAACGTCAAAAAATGTTTTTACACCCTCACATCTAGCGGGGAATACTTAAATTACAAAACCGATAAAGTAGTAACCGTTAATATTTGTGCATAGTAGGCTTGATTATTGTTGGGGGCGCTATAAATTGTTTAAAAATGCTTTTCTAACTTAAAAAATCCTAATTATTGTACCGATTTAAGTTAAATTTTCCACCGTTTATAGAAAAAACCTTGCTGATTTTAATGAAATACATATTTTCCGATTAAATCGGTATTTACAGCATAAAATCTTGCTTTCTGTAAACATGTTTTTAAAAATTTATTGATTTATTAATCTATGGATAAACTATCTCCATGGGAAATGTTTTGAGCGTACTTCTTGACTCGGTCAGTAAACTACGACCCGTGAAAGTAAAACTGCTTTGGAAAAGACTTCTTTTATTGGATCTTCTTCCTTTTAAAAAATTCTTGCTGTTATTTCCTAGATTTTATGCGTCTAGATAGACAAAGTAAACAAATTTCTTTGTTTTATTGTTAAGTTCGTGAGATTTTTATTTATTTAAAAAGTATGTAGTATAGGTATTTAAATGTACAAAACACGTTATAAATTCGGTATTTAAAATACCTATGCAGAGATTAAAGTCATCAGCGCTTTCTAGTATGCTTACAACTTTATTATTATGTGTTTGATTGAAAAACCAATGCAGCTCTCATTTATGTAACTCGATTACATAGGAGGCACTATTGATGTACGGTACTAAACGTGTTCATTTAAGGTTTCCGCAAAATCGAATGGAAGAGAATGGACAAATTGCTGGGCTACTAAAGGCGCCAAAGGTGGTAATACTTTATGGTTTCGTTAAACGCTTTCGATAAGATTTATAACAGTCTAATTGCCAGTTTATTTCTTCCGGACGTCACCTAAGAACTTGGGCGTTAGGTACATGTGTTTGGTAACGATTTTTACAAAGATTGATTGAAATTTTTTCAAAATAAAAATCTCAGAGGCATTCATATTTATTCTACAGTGGCGTAGCCATTATACAAATTTCGTCAAATGTAGACTTATGACTTATATAGACTAAATTTTACCTTTTAATACCTATAAAATTGTTAAAAATCGATTTGTCGTGAAATATTTCCATTAGTATTTTACCTGCATATCTTCCTACTTGCGTAATAGGTAATAACAGACCTGCCGCAACATTGAAATGGGAAAGAAAGCTACTGACCCGAGCAGTGCGATTCACTATTTAACTACCTACTTTACTAATTTTTATTGTACAAACATGTAAATATGCCTAGAGGAAATGATTTTGATCAAACAAAACAGTTTTGCTATTAAAAATTTTTTGGATCAAAGTGAGTCTGTTCTGACAGGCGCATCATAAAATCAGTATTTTTTAAATTTTAAAAAATAAGGGGGAAAAAAAATAAAAATTATTTGCTGTTAGGTTCAACCTTTTTGTGAAAAATCTAGTAGTTAATTTTCCTGTCTTTGAAAATAGCGTTTGAAAGTATTAACGTCCAGTGGCTTTAACAAAATACCCATTTGCCATTGGAGTCCAATGATTGGACAACATTCACGTGTTTTAAAAATTTGAATTTCTTTTATATAAATTCTTTTCAAAGCTAAGATTATTATCCGCTAGGAATACTCTGTCTCTCCTGGGTCGTAGTCACCTATATTTAACTACTTTTTTATATGATTTTACTCATCCAAGCACCACCAAAGCCAAATTAATTGCATTTTTAACTACAAATTTCGACAACTTAACTTGACAACTGCACAATGTAACCTACAATAATTTATACATAACCACAATTAGATTTTTAACTAGCTTAGTTTGTTTTAATCAATGCGACCAACTTGACAACTGTATTTACCAACCAAAACCCTAAATTTGCAACGTTGCCGCAGTCCAGATAAAAAAAGAACTTTATAGTCACGGCCAAATCTATATGGGTGCACGTCATCAATGAGATATAATGACGTCATCATTACCAACTTTGAATTGTAAAGTTACTGCCGTTAAATTTGCTTTTTTAAGGCGTAATTCTGATGTGTTATTAAAAAGAAATCATTCATTTGCGTTTTGTTTACCAAGAACTGTAACAATTTCCTTGTTTTAAAACGTTTTTTCACGAAATTATCAAAATAAAACCATTCACTTAGTAATTTTTGTGTGTGCCAGTTGGTAATAGCTTAAGGCTGGCGCGCACCGTTCAATATTATTGATGGGTCGCTGTCATTTTATATTTGACGTATTTTTGTAATTGTGACATTTCGTCCGGAAGCATCGTTTGTTGCAAATTATTATAAATAATATTATACATTATGTTTATAAGATTCTATCCCTGGATTGTGCAAACAATGATATAAGGCTTGTTGGCAACTAGCCGTTATTAGATTTCGAAGACATTGCGCCCTTAATAATAAATTTGGGGAAATAATCAGACTTCAATTCTGACCTGGTTTGCTCTGATGACAAGGACGACTGGTAATTTATATATTTTGTGCTTCTGATAATTTAGAATTTTTTTGTTATGTGCATATGTAATAAAAATGTAATAAACTCCGTTTGTTTTCTCTTTAAACACATTTAATAAAAATTTGCCTGTAACAACTCCTAATTAGTTAGTGCAGAAGATTATAACAAGGACGTTATAATTCCATCTTAATAACAGACCCCACCGCTATAAACAGTCAACAATACACGAGCGTTAGATTGTGTCTGGGCACGTATGAATAGACCTTAACGCTGACGTCATATGCCGTTGATGACGTGCACCCATACAGATTTGGCCGTGACTATATAATATGAAACTGTTAAGCCGGCGCCACACAACTTGTACATGTAAGTATTTGCCTGAATATTTGTAATTGTTTATTTGATCTGGGATATATCTGCGACATTGCCAAATTTACAAAAATCCCAGAAAATAGGATTTTTCTTTTTTGCGATGTTGCCAAATTTCCAAAAATTCACAGGATCTGAGTATTTTTCATAATCTTCAGGATACCTTTTAAACTATTTAGCGTTGTTGTCGAATTCACAAAACATTCCCTGAATCTGTGAATTTTCAAAAATCTTCTGGATATCTTTAGCAAATCATCTTGCAATGTTGTCAAATTACCAAAAATTTCCAGAATCTGAGAATTTTTTAAGATCTTCAAGATAGAGATGTAAAAATCGTTTTTTCAGATTTGAAAAAAAAAAACAAAAACACACCGATTTTTTGTTTGTTTTTTTTAAATCTGCTACAATTATGCTTGTCCTGTCAACAAATCAATTTTAAAAAATTAAGTATTTTTTCAATGGGAAATTTTGAGCAAAATGTATATTAATAATACACACAAATTTAGAATTACATTACATTATTGAAAATTTTGACTGGGACTAAAAAAATGATTGATTTCTTAATTTTTGGTAGTTTCCACATAAGAAACCAATAACAATGTAAAACTTCTTGAAGTCTATTATAGGTAGGACTGGAAACATAAAAAATTAGGCAAATGGAACTAACCTTAAAAAAAACCTTAATTATGAAAAAAACATTTAAAAAAAACAGTGAAAAAAAACTGAAAAAAATGATCGTTTTTTTTCAAGTAAGGATACCTTTATTAAGCAACCTTGGCATTATTTAGCATTGTTGCCAAATTTTCGAAAATTCCCAGTACCAGGGAATTTAAAAAAATCTTTAGGATTCTTTCAGTAAATCATTTTGCACATTTTGCCCAGTTTTCAAATCATTCCCAAAATCTGTAAATTTTCAAAAATCTTCTGGATATCTTCAGCAAATCATCTTGCACCATTTCTTGCTAAATTTTGAAGTGTTGTCAACTTTCCAAAAATTCCCAGAATCTGAGATTTTTTTAAGATCTTCAGGATACCTTTATTAACCATCTTGGCATTATTTGGCGGTGTTGCCAAATTTTCAAAAATTCCCAGTACCTGGAAATTTTTAAAAAAATTCAGGATACATTCAGTAAATCATCTTGCACTATTTAGCGATGTTGCCAAATTTAACGTGAACAACGTGTTTTTTTGCATACACTTTTTACAACGTTTTTGTTTTCAGTTCCTTCAGTTAAAGAATAGTTGCCAACTCTTGTGTTTTGTGACAAGCGCTTAATCCTTAAATATCAAAGGTGTCCCCAATTTACTGGTTTTGGTAACCATTCTCAAAACTTTTGTTAACGAAATCTGGTACATACCTAAGTACTACTTATACTGAGATTAAAAGTTCATGAGAATTTTTGACCAATAATATTTGACACAGAAATTTCGTACAATGCTATTCTATTAATGGCTAAATTGTAATTATAATGGCCCGTTAATATTCACGATTTTTCTATTACGATATACGTAAGTTTTGGTATTCAAATCAAATACCATTGCCGATAGTTAAATTTTATATACACTTAAAGAAAGTTTTTTACTGTTATTATGTATAGCATAAGTGGTTTAGTAATACATTTTATTACTATATTAGAAAATATGCAGTCGATGCCTTAGCAAAGTTGTCCACTTTTTCAACATATTTATAAGGAAAATCTGCATAGGTGCGCTTAATAGGATAAAATATTTAGTAGTACCTATTTATAGCAAAAGAACAAGACAAATATTTTTAATTATGTAATTAGCATTTTTTTACCGTATAATATTTCAGCCGTTCAGAAAAAAAATACATTTTTGCTTTTGGGAATTTTGGTAAGAAATTCAAGTGAAGAAACAAGCAGGATTATATTTTTATTATCATTATTATTTCATATTTTTTATTCCCGCAGTTTGGACACCCCTGGGGGTGTTCAATTTATCTACTAGGAACATTTGCCCTAATCTCGGTTTAATTATTTTGCGGCACTGTAGTCACCTATATTTAACTACTTTTTTATATGATTTTACTTATCTACGCAACACCAAAGCTAACTTATTATTATTAATTATATTATAATCAAACAGTATAATTGATTTTGTATGTATCGTAATGTAGGTATGTATTTTTTAAACTTAGATAAATTGT